ATACTCCTGGGACATCATGGGGTCGTGACTGAAGCAAAGTACCGTAGCCTTATTTTTAGCCTGGATTTTAAGTTTTCCTTTTAATTTGTCATCTAATAATGTCATGCTGGTCATTAGGTGCACAGTTTTCTCTGCTTTCAAAATCTTTCTTTTTGAACCCTTCGACCCAGAACTTGTTAATTATCTGTAGTAATAATTATGTGGAAAACAAATGGGCCTGGAATGGTGTAATTTTTAATCAACACCATTGTCCTATATATTTAAGTTATATATAAAGTTGAATTCTTTGAATCGTCATTTTTATGTCATGCTGGATCACAAATTGAACCTTGTTATTTTAGTATTATAGATCTAGATTACTAAGTGCCTATAGAAACACGATTCCTCATTTTTCAAGCCCCTTTCTTACATGTCTTAACCTCATTTGTCGCTCACCTGATATTTTTTTAATTTTATAATTGATGAATGAAATAATGCAACCGTTATACTTTTGCTTTAGTTTCAAAGATATAAGTCAAAAACTGCATTTTCCCCCCTATGTTCTATTTTTAAACTAGAGACCCTAATGCTTGTTATGGCCAAGTTTGGTTATATTTGTCTCAGTTGTTTCAGGAGAAGACTTTTGTAAAAGATTACAAAAATTTACGAAAAATTGTTATATTTGACTTTAAAGTACAATAACTCCTTATGGGGTCAATTGACCATTTTGATCCTGTTGACTTATTTGTGAATCTTATTTTGCTGAACATTATTTCTGTTTAAAGTTTATCTCTATCTATTAAAATGTTCAAGATAATAACCAATACATTGCTTCGCCGAGCACAGCTGGATACGACCGCAGAGGTCCAACCCTGAACAGTTGGGGCAAAAATGGACGCAATATTCGCGCTTGATACAGGTCTGAATTTGGATTGTAATTAAATATTTGACACATAAAAGGTTTCTGACACAGAATAAATGTAGTCAAAGAACTTAGAATTGGTTATATGATTTGAATTTTTATTCAATTTTTTGCTTTTGTGCAATACACTTTGCTATTGCGAATTGATCCCACCTCCCCCCACAAATCAAACATCCTTTCCATTCAGTGTGGAGGTTGTTGGGTTAAAGACTATGGCTGAAGATATCGGTAAGAAAGTTGTAAAAGACATTTCTTCTATTCAGGTTTGAAATTTGTTTACTCTATGATTTTAAAATCATTTCTGAACAGCTGTCAAACTGCAGAGTGTCACTGATTTCCAAATAGTTCCACAGTTCAGAAATAAAGGCAACAGTAGTATATCGCTATTCGAAATTCATAAATCGATTGAGAAAAAAACAAATCCGGGTTGCAAACTAAAACTGAGGGAAACACATCAAATATAAGAGGAGAACAACGACACAACAGAAACTCAACACTAAAATGCAACAAACACAGAAACGAAATATAATATAACAATGGCCATTTTCCTGACTTGGTACAGGACATTTAAAAAAAAATGGTGGGTTGAACCTGGTTTTGTCGCTAGCCAAACCTCCCGCTTTTATGGCAATGTTAAATATCACATTAAAATGACAAGATTACATGACAGGACTACAATACAAATAAATGGGAGAACATACAGGACAGAGACACACAAATAATAGCTATCAAAAGGTACCAGGCTTATAATTTAATACACCAGAAGCGCGTTTTGTCTACATTAGACCCATCATTGACGCTCAGTTCGAAAAAAGTTCAAAAGCCAAAACAAGTACAAAGTTGAAGAGCATTGAGGACCAAAAGTTCCAAAAGTTCCAAAAAGTTGTGCCTAATACGGCTAAAGTTATATGTCTGGGATAAGAAAATCCTTAGTATACTTTTGCAAACAGTAAATTTATAAAAATGACTATTTAATAAAAAAAAAATAAAAAATTTACCCCCCCCCCCTTTTTTTTTTGCTTTTGTGCAAGACACTATGCTGTTGCGTATTAAATCCACCACCCACCTCCACCCCTCACCCCTCACCCCCAACACACTTTTTTTTCAAAAAAAATAATATTTGAAGAATTTTTCTTTTTAATTTCTGAAAAATCTGAAATGAGAAAGAATTGACCCCCCAAAATTTCTGTTTACTCCCCCCCCCCTTTTTCCCCCAAAAATTCTTTCCCTCAAGATATGGTCTTAATCTCAATTCAAATTTCCAATGGAGTTAGCAACCATAATTACCCATTTAAATTTACCATAGTTCTAACTTAATCTATTTTATAATAGAATTTAAAATATGGTGTCAAATCTTTCATATGGATTTTTTTGTAAAAAAAAAAAAGATGCAACATTTGCAGATATTTTTACTGGTCTTCCTTTATAAATATGCATTTCTTTAAACATAATTTAAAAGCAGTGTAAGGGAGGTAATTAAAACGTTGTATTTGGATTACCTCCCTTACACTGCTTTTAAATTGTCTAAATTGTTCATGAACCATTACTTTATACATAATTTAAAAGCAGTGTGAGGGAGGTAATTCAAATGATGTATTTGAATTTCCTCCCTTACACTGCTTTAAATTATGTTTTGTACTAAAGTATTTGTCTATTAACCAGGACACCCTTGTTTTTCTTCCTTTTTTGACCCTAATTCCTAAACGGTTTGAGCTATAACCCCCAAAAGCAAATCCTAATCATCCCTTTGTGGTATGGAAACTTGTGGTATAATGTCAGAGAGATCCATACACCGTTCCACAAGTTATTGTCTGGAAACTAGAAAAATGCTTATTTTTAGCCCCTTTTTGGCCCCTAATTCCCTAACTGTTGGTACCATAACCCCCAAAATCAATCCCAACCTTCTTTTTGTGGTATTGAACCTTATGGTCAAATTTCATAGAGATCCATTCACTTAAACTAAAGTTATTGTGCGAAAACCAATGTGTCTTCGGACGACTACGACGAGGCCAACGTCATACCAATATACGACCGCAAAATTTTTTTGCCGTTGTATAAAAAATGCAAAATTTCCTTAAAATTGCCTATTCAGGGGCAGCAACCCAACAACGGTTGTCTGATGCGTCTGAAAATTCAACTGAGATAGATCTTCACCTGATGAACATTTTTACCCCATGTCAGATTTGCTCTAAATGCTTTAGTTTCAGAGATATAAGCCAAAAACTGCATTTTACCCCCATGTTCTATTTTTAGCCATGGCGACCATCTTGGTTGATGGGCAGGGTCTTCGGATACATTTTTAAAACTAGATACAATAAGGATGATTTAGACCAAATTAGGATTAATTTGGCCCAGCAGTTTCAGAATAGAAGATTTTTTAAAAGGATTACAAAAAATTGTGAAAAATTGTGAACAATTGACTTAAAAGGGCAATAACTCCTTATGAGGTCAATTGACTATTTTGGTCATGTTGACTCAATTGTAGCTTTTACTTTGCTGAACAATTTTGTTGTTTACAGTGTATCTCTATCTATTATAATGTTCAAGATAATAACCAAAAACTGCAAGATTTCCATAAAATTACCTATTTAGGGGCAGCAACCCAACAACGTGTTGTCTGTTGCGTCCGAAAATTTCAGCACCGATAATTCTTCACCTGATGAACATTTTTACCCCCTCAGATTTGCTCTAAATGCTTTGGTTTCAGAGATAAAGCCAAAAACTGCATTTTATCCCCATGTTCTATTTTTAGCAATAGTGGCCATCTTGGTTGATGGGCAGGGTCATCTGATACATTTGTTATACTAGATACCCTAAGGATGATTTAGGCCAAGTTTGGTTTTATTTGGCCCAGTAGTTTCAGAGAAGAAGATTTTTGTAAAAGGTAACGGACAATGACGACGACGGTGACGGACGACGACGGACGCCAAGTGATGAGAAAAGCTCACTTGGCCCTATTGGGCCAGTTGAGCTAAAATGGTATGTCTAAAGCTCAATGCATTCTGGTTACAAAATTTGTGATATATCTTCCATAGGGGTATAAATCAAAACTCCAAATGCTCAGCAAATTGTTTATCTGCATTACTTTTTGATTACCTCTGCTGTGGAGGTTCATTATGGTTGAAATTTGCTATGAAAGCTGGAATTTGTTAACATTTCAAATGAAAATCAAAATGTTCTGAAACTTTTTGGAATTGTTGTAGTTGTTTGTATATACATATATTAATTATAATGGAAAAACAGAGTTCCAATGTCCCCATTATTGCACTTATTTTGTCTATTCAGAGTATAAGGGCAATAACTAAAACAAGCACTTTTTTTATGTTAAAATCCAGCAGCTACCACCATTGCCTTCCCTTTTTGTCGAGCCTTCCATTATTGTCGAAAAAGCGAGACATAGCGATCCTACATTCCGTCGTCGGCGGCTTCCACAAATATTCACTCTGTGGTTAAAGTTTTTGAAATTTTAATAACTTTCTTAAACTATCCTGGATTTCTACCAAACAGAAGCTTGTTTATGATCATAAGAAAGTATGCAGAAGTAAATTTTGTAAAAAAGAATCCTGTTTTTCCGTATTTTACTTATAAATGGACTTAGTTTTTATACCAGAAAACAATACATTCACTCTGTGGTTAAAGTTTTTAAAATTTTAATAACTTTCTTAAACTATCCTGGATGTTTACCAAACTTGGACAGAAGCTAGTTTATGATCAAAAGCTAGTATCTAGAAGGAAATTCTGTTAAAATTGTGTACCTGTTCATCCGTTCTTTACTTATAAATGGACTTAGTTTTTCTTCCATTTAACATTACATAAAGTCTGCAGTTAAAAGATTTAAAACATTTATTTGATTAATAAACCATCCTGGATTTTTACCAAACTTGGACAGAAGCTTCTTACAATCAAAAGATAGTATCAAAAGGAATATTTTTATTAATTTCTTTCCTCATTTTTGTTGAGCCTGCGATTAACAGCAAACGTAGGCGAGACACTGGGTTCTGTGGAACCCTTACAAATTTTTTGAAATTGCCTTGGAATTCAGTATTTTTGTTATACCATTTGGAAATTAAATACTGTAACAAATATATATAATAGTTACATTTATATATACTGTAGCTATAGGATCTCCTCCATATCTAATCCTGTTGTTAATTTCATTTAAACATATAATGTATATAGCTTCCCTTCCACTTACATCTGAGGAGCTAATTCTGAAAATTAAAATTCCTGTGATTATCATATAAAATCTGAACCTGATGCACTGCTTTCCAATAAAAATAAATTGACAATACAGTTCTCCCTTGGTAAAGAGAGAGAAAACAAGTGATATTTTTATATTATAACCAATACTGCACATGGTAATTGGAACATCACTAGTTTCTGGATTGGATTGTTGCTCACTTTGTCAGGATCTTTTACAGCTGACTATATAGTATGTTTTGTTCATTGTTGAAGGTCATACAGTGACCTAAATGTTTTACATCCTCTTCGACTAATGGAAAGTTTTCTCATTAACGATCCTACCATACATTGTAAGACCTTATTTCTAAAATTCTAAAAAATTCAATCTGTGACAATAACATTTTATTAATTTAATAAGGTAATCTGATCAACATTATGAAGCATCAAAACACTCTGTCATTGACTGACAGCGATCAAAGTAATTTTAACTCCTATGACAATGTACAATGATGTATATATGTGCAATACTCAAAACTAAGTATCACAATCTAAATTCATACGTATATCCATATACATTTACAAGGTACTTAATAAATCAGTGAGACTGACACATAAAATGTAGGTAAAAAAAATATACTTTTTGTTGGATCCTGCATCATAATTATTACAAGTAAAATGAAGGCAAGTCATAATCATTGAGTACATGTACATTATATTTGAACTTAAAGTAAAGGATAATCTGATTAGTCTATAATCAGTAATAAAGCCACACAACACTGTGTGAAAACAGTGACATATAAGTCTCCCATAGATGCAAATACTATTATTTTGGGTCTTTTGTTTATATATGTTTAAGGTTACTTAGAATTAGCTGTTGACATACATGTACACATGGACTGCCATGCATGGAGTCATTGGACCCTAGGTTACTCCAGTCCATTATCAATCACTATCAATAGTCAACTCCTCTGTCCATTTGTTGTAATACAATGTACTGCTGAAAGGGAGAAAACAGTACTTTATTAATAGCATGTGGATGCAAGACTATAATAAGTATTCAAAGAGTTTTGCAAACTATTAGCTTATCTGTATTTACCTAGTGATGTGACAGTAAAATCAAGTTTAACGAAGGCCAAGATTAAAATACAATACAGTTATCTACATTCTAATGCAACATATTAAAATAAATACCATTTAACAAATATTTTGGTGTAAAATGAAATAAATAAAAAAGTCCGCGAAACTGTTGCATTGTCTTTAGCAACTAAACAATGTGACGTCATATGTATACTCATGATGTCAAACATAAATCTCTAGACGTACATTTTATTTATACCTTTCGTACACTTCAGAATGGTTTCAACGTTCACAAAAAGAACATTTTGTGCACATTTTGAGACACAAAATGTGACTTTCATGTTTAATTTGTGAGAAATTAAATACCCAAAAAAATCAGAATTCAAAATGGTGGCTTTCTTAGTTACGGACTGGTAGAACGTGGAATTTACCCCTTAAAAATATATGTCAAAGTCCAATGAAAATTATCATAACCAACAAACTGCATTAGAATTATTTTTTACTAATATTAAACTTGTATTTATATTAAATATCAAAAAGCAATGGATTGAAGTCATAGAAGTCGCTAAGAACAATGAAGAAAAAAATAATGTTAAATTTTTGTCCTTTTGAACCTTTAATTTATGTAGGGGTTCAAAATAGTGCAAGACTGAGGTCTGGGACCTGTCTTTTCTAGGAGGGGACTTTTATTTTTAAATTACAAGTCAAGAACCTACCATTCTTAACACAGATAATATGCACATAATGTTTGGAAATGTATAAATACAAAAAATATAATTGAATAATACAAAATTTTTGATGTTATGACGTCACAATTACGTCATAAAATGAACCAATTTAAATAAAACATAGAAAACTGCTAGGTTTCTGCAGTTTTCCGTCATTATTTCCTTTGAGGAAACATCGTGAGCAGACAAGAAACAACAAAATAATTTAAGAGAAGCTTTATCATAACTATTGAAATATTTTAACCAAATATAAAGTTGTTTCTAGGGTGCACACATACTTTTCCAATCGTATATATGTAGGAACCTAAAGTGCGATGGGGACGCTAAAGTACGGATGTCACGCTAAAGTGCGATGGTCCACGCTAAAGTGCGATGGTCTGCGCTAAAGTGCGATGCCTCCATACGCTAAAGTCCGATAGTCTGCGAAAGTATAGACGTAAGAAACGTAGACGGATTATGACGTTAACAGTCGTTTATACAAACCAAAAATGTACATGCTGGAAGATAAATTAAAATATTTGATTAACTACTTTTAAACCAAATGTCCATGACTTTATTTCAAACCTAACTGTGCTTTGTCCGCTGAAGCAAATTTTGTTTTTTTTCGGGTGCTGGAAAAAAACTTGACAATGTGTCCTGCAGTCGACCATTTTACTATATCTATATAGATACAAAATAGTATACGCATACAGGTACATGTTTTCATAGTTTGTACATTGTAGGAAAATATAACATGTATTTGTACTCGCTACGAAAAAGGAGGAAGCTCGGCGAACTTCGCCTTTCTCTCGGATTTACATTACAGCTTGTACAAAAAAAATGTTACTTATATTCGGCCGACAATGAATGAATTTTGTATTTGTAATTTACAATGACGACTGTAAGGGGAGGTGTTCAGATTATTGATAGACTGTGAACGGCAAGCTACACCAATTATCCAAATATTTAATACGCCCGAATTGTTAAAAAAAACATTTACAGGAAATATAGAATTTTGTGATATCTAAATGACTTTTTTGCAATTATTACCTGGTCGGTCTTCTAAATTTAGAAACAATCACGTAAGCCTACCTGTAAATTATAAAGCCTGTCACATATGTTATACCTGAGCATACTAGCTTTTGAAAAAAATACTATTTTTTAACATTCATGTACTTTAACGTTTTAAGCCCTTATTCGTCCATCGCACTTTAGCGTGATATACTATCGTACTTTAGCAAACAAACAACCATCGTACTTTAGCGTGAGACACCATCGTACTTTAGCGTAGACCATCGCACTTTAGCGTGACCATCGCACTTTAGAGTACCATTGCATTTTAGAGTCCTCCATATATACATAAGGGTTGACGTTAAACAAGGAAAATCAAGACATTTTACAAAATATACACATTTCGTCATAATTTGCTGCAATGGTAACTCGATAAATATGAAATTTGTTTTCATTTTCTGAACACCTTTTATTATAGTGTAGTTTGAACAAAGTTAAGAATATGCATGGTAACTTTTCATTTTGTCCTAATATTTGGGCCAAATTAGGGCCTGATTGTCCCTTCTCCTTTATAAAAATAGAAAGGAAGCTCATGTCAATAGATACAAACAATTCACAAAAGTTTCTTGCAATTTGGTGAACACATTTTGAGTTATTGTCCAAATACTGGAAAATCCCCCTTTTTTTAATGTTTTTTGGATATCAATTACTTTGTCAAACATACATGGAATTTTGACATGGAATTAGTTATATCTGCACACTAGAACACACATTTGTATGGTTTTTTTTCTGCATAAACATGTAATTCATAATTTATTAAAACTTCCAACATAGTCCCGTTGTGCATCTCCTTTTTATGCCCTTGTCGTAACGGAGGAGGCATTAATTGCCAGTCTTTGTAAGAATCAGGCAAATTAGAAAAAAATCAAAACATAGCCGAAAAAACCCACCGACCTAACCACCCTATTTCGAAGATACCTTCATCCTGAGTTAGAAATGGTAGGCCTTTGGTTTCTGCATGTCTGGTAATTCGAGAAATATCTAGATAAATTTTTGTTAGAATGATAGCAAATTACAGAGTTATCTCCCCTTAATTGTTAATTTCTAGTGCATTTCAACCAAATTATAGCTTGAATTACCAGAACAGGGAAAGAAAACGAATGTCATATTCATGCACCATTATACATTCTGAACTTAAATTAATGTAAAGCTGAGTGGGTTTTTGTTTGTCATGTTTTCACCACTGCCTGATTCTTAGGCAGATTGGTACTTAAGTTATACACTTGTCTGCCTTTACATCCTTGCATACTTGCATTGCGAAATAGGTTTTATACCCTTTTGACATATTCAATATTTTGACATTACACAGTCATACTTTTCTTAAGACTGCATGAAATGACAAACTGTGAAACATTGTTACACTAAATCTGTTGAAGGTGAACTGATAGATATTTTAGTTTGGGAAAACATATTTTTTGCACCTTTTTTATTATAAGTACCTATCGATGAATCCAGTCCTTTTAGGCTAATTTTGAAAGTTGGCTCTTATGTTGTTTGCTGTCTGTCATTACTGTATGTAGTTTAGATTTTTTCATCCTTGTAGGTTACTTTATGGTATTGATTTTGATAATTGTTTAAGGCTGTACATTGACCAGTAAATGTTTACATATTTGTCCTTTGGTCTTTTAATTGATAGTTGTCACATTGAGATCATATCTCATCTTTATATATTTATATGCTAGTTCATTGAAAAAGCTCCAAGGATACAACATAATTTATTTGTTATATATTTGCAAATTCATTCTGATAATGCAAAAACATAAATTGGTTGATTTTTTTTGCTTATTTTAATGCCCAGTAGCAAATATTTTATGTATTCTAAACGAGAACAACTTATCAATTCATAATATAGGCCAGTCTGACAATGCTGGTTTAATACCCTTTTTGGTCCATAATTCCTGAACGGTTTGGGCAAATACCCCCAAAATGAAACTTAACTTTCTACTTGTGGTACAATTTCATAGCAATTAAAATACTTATAAACAAGTTATTGTCCTGAATTTAGGAAAATGCTTGATTTGTGCCCTTTTTTGGCCCCTAATTCCTACACGGGTTGGACCATGACCCCCAAAAATAATCTAAACCTTCCTTTTATGGTATTGAACCTTTAAATTTAATTTCATAGACATTCATACACTTAAACTGAAGTTATTGTCCGGAAACGAAATGTCTTCGAACGAGATAGCAATATACGACCTCAAAACTTTTTTGCTTGCCTAAGCCACATTTTCATAACTGTTGTGGCTAGACAAAAAAGAACAAGCATTGTATTGATTAAGAGAGCTTTGAATGCAATTTTCTATAAAAATGTCCTGTAAAAAAATTAAATTTGTCACTTCTAACATGGATAATTTTCGAACTTGCCCACAACAAGAATCAAACTTTAAACTCTATGACCTCAAACTTTAAAAAACACTTCGAAACTACATGTACAGAGTCTGACAAGAAAAAAATATTCAAACATAGTTATCATTTTCATTACATACCTCTCATCACAAAATTATTCATTGACTACTGCTCCTCATATGCACATAAATCAATAGGACGATCTATGACTCCACTATGAATTCTGTTCTGTTGCTTAGCTTCTCCTTCTTCTCAAAGTAATTGTACTTTCATTGAAAAAACTAAAATAAATAATGTTTAATAAAATGAAGTTATAATACAATGTATCTGCCAAAATTGCCTTTAATATTTAGGTCTGGCAATATTGGCTTGGTTTGATTTTTAAAAACTAGACCATCAAACTTTCCCTGAAAAAAAATGACTATAAAAGAGTATTTAATCATTTTATTAATGTTCTAATCCATCATATAAATTCCATATGACCCTTGAATGAAGGGATGAACAAAAGTGATTATATATTACAGGATCTCTGAATCTGTCATTATTTATAATGCCAATCTTTGAGGATTAAGTTATTTTAATAATCATGATACTTTGAAATTTTAAGTTATTCAAAGTTGTTTAAAATACACCAAAAGTTGGACTATTTTATATAAGGTAGTATCTGAGAAATGGACTAAACCAGGCAAGGTTTGATGGTAAATACATTGTACATGTACCTTGTTTTTGGCTTTGAACTAGGTGTAAGTAACTGGGTGTACTCTCAGATCAGTACTTGGAGTCTTTTTTGTTGTGGGGATGTATAAATACCCACCACGTCTTGTGTGTGTTTTTGTTAGATGTCTTTCTGCTTTGTATAGATCTGATGAGTTAAGCCCTTTTCACATCAATATACCAGGTTAGGAGGTGGGTTCGGCACCACAAACTAGTACTAGTCTAGCCCCAAAAACTAGTACTAGTCTAGCCCCAAAAAATAGTACTAGTCTAGCCCCACCACATCCTGTACATTTGTATGTACCTGTCCCATGTCAGGAGCCTGTAATTCAGTGGTTCAGTTTGTCGTTTGTTGCTGTGCATCATATTTAGTTTTTTTGTATATAAATTAGTCTGTTAGTTTTCTTGTTTGAATTGCATTGTTTTACAAATTTGTCATTTTCATTTGGGGTCTTTTATAGCTGACTATATGGTATGGGGTTTGCTCATTGTTGAAGAATGTACAGTGAACTATAGTTGTTAACTTTGATGTCATTTGATCTCTGATGGAGAGTTGTCTTTTCTCATTAGTGTAAATAATATTTTTACTTTATTCCGTTACTCGGTCATTCGTGTTACCCTTGACTTGCTTCCGTTTTTGCCAATCTTCCTCAATCCTCAATCTTATGGCCTTATGGCACAACTGTTCTCAATCACCTTATCGCTATTCCCGCTTGACCCGAGAATCTGCCACGGTCCCGCTTGAACTTTTGACGTCATACAACAATCACTTTTCCATTGTGGCGTCAGATATTTTCTATTATGACGTCAAAATTTTACGGGAACTTTTGTGATGTCCAGTAATGGCGGACAAATAGCAATAAGGTGTATTGGTACATATTACGCTCTATGTGAATCTTCCTCCATGTATCTTCCTCCATGTACTTTAATTTTGTTTTTGCTGTTACGATTGAGGTTGCGGATCTTTGACTGGTTTCGGGTTTACATACATGACATGGATAAAGTCAAATGGTTTTTTGTGAAAAGTATAGCACTAGCATCTTCCTAAAAATGTGCATGATTATATCTACCTTTCATTGCGCTTTTCAAGTACAATAAGTTGGTTCGTAATAAATCCATCAAAACGATTCTGAAACACTTCGTCGCGTTGACTTCTTCTTCTTCTTGATTATAATCTAAAAATTTCAGTTCTATTTATTAATTCCGTTCTCCTCTTTTAAATCAATTATCACTGATCAATCGATTTTCCATATGCATAAATGGTTTAAAAATGTTAATACACAACTTAGCAGTTATCTATTTACAATGTATTTATCTACGTGATGGTTTGTTTTCCTACTTAAATACAATATTTACGTCTATCTTATTTGAAGCAAAATTGTTGTTATAACTTGTCGCCGTGAGTAACCTGCTGAACTTTAAACTCTACTCACTCCAATTTTGGGATTCGAAACATATTTCATATTAATTTATAGGCCTAACGATAAAGATATTTGATTTTTAAAACATTCCTATTCGTTTATTGTCGGATATTTATTTTCAGTGTCTTCAGACATTAAGAAAGCGGATATGTAGTAGAAAGGCATAAACATAATAAAATCATAAGTTCATCTTTAATACATTTATCAGTTCTCTGTTTTTATTTCCGGAGAAATGACATAAAGCTGTTTTTAACTGAATACACTTAATCTACGAAAAACCAATCAGAGTAGTTAAGAAGGGAGGTAATCCGATTTGGTTGAAACTGTTTCTTTACAACATTGTGAAAGATGTCCATAAATCTCAACTGATAAGAGCATGCTTATCACATATACATCTGCATATGAGGAACCATAACAATGTGTCAACTTCAAGTTAAATATAATAAACCAAATCAGAGGAGTTGTGATCATGATTTCCTTGATAGAAGATTGCTGCTTCCAATGAAGCTATTAAACCAAGAGTTTCAAGTTGTGAAGTCAAAATCATCTCTTCGAAAATTTTACGGTCACAATCACGAGATTGTTGACCGTAAAGGAATATCGGTTCCACAGATGACGACGGATATGTTCCAATTGTAATAACCACAATGCCGTACTCTTTTACCCGAAAGTGATCTACCAAATGATACTTATTAACGGTTTTGTACTTACATGAGTTACAAGACGGATATTACGTGTAGAAAATGATCTTTTTATCCTTACGGAGCACGTGAGATCACCCCTTGTTTTGTTTTGAAGGGGTTCGTGTTGCTATTGCATACGTTTTTAGTGTTATAATAGGTGCTGTGTGCCCGTTCAAAGTCAGGAGCCTGTAATTCAGTGGTTATCGTTTGTTGCTGTGCTACAAATTTCGTTTTCGTTCATTATTTTGTACACAAATTAGGCCGTTAGTTTTCTCGTTTGAATTGTTTTAAATTTGTCATTTCGGAGCCTTTTATTGCTGACTGTGCGGTATGGGCTTTGCTCATGGCTGAAGGCCGAACGACGACCTATACTTGTTAATTTCTGTGTCATTTGGTCTCTTGTGAAGAGTTGTCTAAATGACAATCATACCACATCTTCTTTTTTGTGTTTATCAATTTTTCAATGTCTGTGTTATTTTTACCGGTGACATTCTTGTCGATCCACTGTCATGAATAACGTTTCGATTTCAAAGTTTCAGACTAGGTCATGTTTCATGTTTAGAAAATTTACATGAACGATGGTTTACGAATTAAGTGATGTCTTAAGATTGGAGTCGATTACCAATCCGCTATTCTGTGATGCTGTATCACTTGATATCGCTTTTTGACCTATTTTGATACGAGTAATACAACGTTTAGGACATATCTTACTATTCCGGCGTACCTGATTTCAAAAAAGTCAGATAAGCCAACTCAAAGACACGATCCTAAGTAATATAAAAAGTGTTGATAACGAGTGTGTATATGTGCTTATCTACATCGTATATAAAGTTTGACCGGCAGACTGTTCCAAATTTAACATCCGTAAGAAGCTAGCTTGAAATAGATTTTCGAGGAATGCTTTTAACTAAAGTAAAGAACTCGTATCGCCTTCTCTCCCCACTCAACAATTTTCAGTCTTTATAATTATTATCACAACAAAAATATCCTTATTGTTGTTTTTTTGTTTTCATCATTATTTCCCTATCAAATAATCACAATCGATTTCATATAATCCTGTTAAACATATGTTTGTATTCGCAATTCCAGTTACACACATTGATTGCATGATATAACAAGCAAAATGGAAGACGTTTGTGATGTAGCAATAGGAATTGATTTCTTGGTCGGTAAGTCAAAAATTTGTGTAATACATTATAATGCAATAGTTTTGTGTATTGCATTGACATAAAGCAATGTTTACATCAGCATTGCATACAATCAAACTATGTATTAAAAAAGAATCAGGAATAATCGATGAATTGCTTGTTTTGGACTTAGGTGTAGACCTTTGCTACACATGCTTATCTAACATTTATCTTATAGATGCATAGTACAGGTAAACTGCTGTCTCATATTGCAATGATACAGCGACAAATGACCAATTATAAAATTGGTTTACCCAATGCTTGATTCGGAAAAAGGCTGTACCAAGGCAGGTATATGACAGTTGTTTTGCACTCGTTCCGTTGATTGATAACGTTTGATTTTGTCAGTTTTCATGGATTTCCATTTTCTTGAAATTACCTTAGAGTTTGGGTTTTATGCTATACTTTTTATGCAATCAAGAATAAGACCCACCCTTTTACATACACACACACATGTCAGTAAATATACATATATACATGTCATTTTAATGATCGGCGATAAAAACTGGTAATACGAATAATGAAGTTGAATAGAACTGGAGAATTATAACGAAAATGTGTTTATACAATAATTTTGCTTGCTTTTAATTTCAAAAATGTCGGTAATTCAGAATAAGAAATAACCTAAAATATTAAATATATATTAGTTAGAAAGCTCAAAGAGTAATATTAATTGTGTTCAATGTTCAAACCTTTACGGAATCATTCTATCATTCACTGACTTTATTTTTTTTTCCAGCGAAAAAATACGTAAGACAATTGTGATAATACGTAAGATATTTTGAGCTATCTAAGTCTATTTTTATATATTACTTTAGTGTTGTTTTCTATTAGAATCTTTTGCTGGTAGTTATTGCTTTAATTATGAATAACAATGTATTATATGAAATGTAAACAACTATATACATCATAAAACAGCTGTTAGTTTTGAAATAATCAATGAAGTAAATGTTTTTGTGTATTGGGTTTTGATACTGAATCAGAAACAGTTGAGCTTGTCAGAAATTGATTTGATGATAATTTCGGTTTTTCCTCATTGCTGTAGTTTGAATAACAGTGTTTATCTAGTTCTGATGAAAAGATTTTGGAACAGTGCCTAACAATTTTCTTAAAAACTAATTAACACATAAAACTTACAACGATGCAGGCGCTAAAAGCAAAAATAAAGTAAAACAATTTCAACACTATTTGGAACTCTATCGAACAATTTGCACATTCCGTGTTTGATAATAATGAGGCTTTGATGAATAGTTTTATCACTTAAATCAATATCGCCTTACTTATCTCTCTATCTATGTTAAAAAGAAGGAAATTATCATCAAACAAACATAAGTTGTTCATAAACAGTTCATGTTAACATAATAGAAATATCCTATTCTGCTGTTTTTTCATCAATATTAAACTGTCAAGCAATCACAATCGATTTTATCTAATCTTGAAATCTTATATATACGTTTCAATCGTAGTTCTTGTTACACACATTGAATGCAGGATGTAAAGAGGAAAATGAAAGACTTGTGTGATGTAACATAAGGAATTGATTTTCCTGGTCTGTAAGTATATATATATTTGTGTCATTCATAAATACTGTAATAATGCTGTGTATTAATAATCAATGAATTCCTTGCAATGTCAAACTGTGGAACTTTGCTATACATTTTCATTTAATATTAATATAATATACGCAGGACAAGTAAAGTTATGATAAAGCAAATATCACTAATTATAATGTTTTCAAAGAATAGAATCTCACGCATTCACACACACACACACACACACACACACACACACACACACACACACACACAGACAGCCACAGACACACACACAAGTAAATATACATATATACATCATATTTTAAGTGTCCACTCTTATAATTGGCGATCACAATTGTTTATTTTGGTCGTCTTGTGATGTCACGATAATACGAATAATAGATTTAGACAAAACAGGAGAAATGTAAACAAAATTTTGGTATACACAAATTATACCTGCTCTCAATGAAAAAAGTTTTAAATTGAAAATAACAAACAAATTATAATACTTAATCATTACCGTTTAAAACCTCGGACATGTATATCGCTTTTGTTAAATGCGTTACCGATTAATACAATCATACTACCACTTTAACTTATAATTTCAGCGAGACAACATGGAAAACACTTATGATGTTGCGTAAAGTTTTATTAATCTGTGTAAGTCTATTTTTATATGAGAATATAGTGCAGCTTTATCCCAAACAGTAATGAATTAATTATGAAATATGTAAACATATATAAACACCAAAAAACTTAGTTTTGAAATAATCAATGAAGCCAATGTTTTTGTTATGACATTTGATAATCAAGCAGAAACAGTTGGCACTAGGGATACCATAATGATAATTTCTGTCTTTTGTCATTATTATAGTATTCATTGCTTAGTTTATAACTTCTGTGCCAGTTCAACCGACCGATAAACTTGATAAACAAACAAAACAAACTGTAACATTGTTGAAAGCACTACATTCAACACTATATCAGTTTGATCCATTTATTTATTGTGTGGTTTAAAATATATCATTTATTTAGCAACTATTTGAATGTGTTATAAAAGAATAGTATAACTTAGAATTCATTATTTCTTTCTATACCATGAATGTACTTTATTGACTAGAACTCTAACGAAGAAATGTACATTCGTTATTCAATACATATCACGTCATGATAACTATAATTCTATCACATGAATTGATACTTATCTACCTACCATTTAAGGCTAATACAGAAGAAAGTGGATTAGTTAAAAAGTCGTAAAAGTGGTTAATATTCGGCACGTTCTCAAAATTTTCGATACGAATCCATCCGACGGTCATTCATAACCTCAATTTATTAACGCAGAAAATATCGACGTCATGTAGATATATTATGCAAACTAAATGCGTATGAAAATTTTTCTTCGTTCTTTTACCGCCAAATATACAAAACATACCTATTGATTAATCGGATTTAGGGGTGGGAAGTGAATAGAAAATGAATAGAATGAAGTTAATAGTAAATTGGAAATCCCTAATATGATATATATTTAACACAATAACCTAAGGTCAGTCCCCTTTGTTAAACAGTGCTGAACAGTGGTTGAACCACTTTTGGTGCCAAAGGACCCATCTCCTCTCGCCAAAAATCAAATGGTCATCTTCTTTGCGTTAATGTATATATATATATGACTAACCGTGTAAATTTAGGCTTAAAAAGTGCGAACTTTTAAAATTACTAAATACATTCTAAAACTGAAACCTCACAAAGTTAACAATATAAAAAAAGGAGGAAATACAATACAACATTAAAACAACTTCCCTTTTGATTATCGATTCGGTATTAACCTTTAGGAAATACACACATATTTTTTTCTTTCCTATAAGACATCGGTTGTGTAAACTTTATTCGACACGTGTTTTGCATGAGGGTCTGGATGGGGGTTTTCCATTCTGGAATCTTTCATTGTAATGACATTTTGATTTTCTTTATTGTGGCCTATACTTATCTCATCTTAATATAGTTTCACCCCATTAGTATGTGTTCCTTATGTAAAATGGGACCCTTTTAACTTCTTCGTATTTACTGTTAATTCATAAATTATTGCGTGCATTTGTTATCAAGATTTTCGAAGAATGGACAACAGAGGGAGATTTATTATTACGATTTTAGGAAAAGCTGCATTCATATATATATATATATATATATATATATATATCCATTTTGTTACATAGGTGATCCGTTTATTTGGCAATCGCCAATGGCAGTCAGTAGGATTTAAGAACATCCGTTGTTCGACCTGCTAGTCAAATGCGTTTTGTTAAAATATACTTTTTCACTTTTTTGGTCTTTTGGAAAATGTTGTTTGTGCTGTATTTAGACCACTCTACCAAGAAATTTGTTTTGCATGCACATGTATAAAAATTGCGGGTTTTATCCAACGCAATCATAGGTTTGAACGTTGTTTTCAATTTAGACTTGTATATATATATATATGTGTGTGTGTGTGTGTGTGTGTGTTTGTATTAGATGTCATAATGCAAGTTCTATTTATTCGATACTCACGCCGTCGCATTATTCGCATTAAGCAAATTCAAACTTCGCAATACTTTCTTAAGTTACAATATCTAACCGTGACGTATGAATAATCTATCCGATTTAATTAAAAGTTTTCCAAACCCTTAACTGTTACAATAAACAATTAGATAAACAATTGAATCAATATTACTGTTTGTCCACAAAGATGATATATTATATTAATAAAAACAATTGGAGCTTTATGTTTTTAAAGGTTTTTGGATGGTGTTTTCCTTTCAAATTGAAATGTCCAAGCGAATCACAGTGGTCTTTGAGAGCCAGAGCATTCTGCCCATCGGATCCATCAAAGTATTCCTGCATTCAGAATGATCTGACTGGAGGATTTACTGAAGATTGTTCAGTAGTCGAATTTGAAAGAGGAGGTACGTTTCTACAGTATATTTTTGGCGGACGACAAATGTATAATGTAAAGGAAGAAATATGCGTATATGACTGTTTATGTAGATACCAGTTTACTTCCATAAGCAACACGACGGCTGCCACATGATGAGGCGGATCTTTTTACCCTTCCGAAATACCTGAAATCATCCCCTGTTTTTGCTGCGGTTTGTGTTGCTCAGTCATTAGTTTTCTATGAAGTGTATATTGTTGTTTGTTTTGGTTTTTTTTACTATGGCGTAGTCAGTTTATTTACGACTTACTTATGAGTAAAATTCTTTTCTTTAATGGAATTATACCAAAAAATATTATAAATTCGTACTAAATGGGTACAACTGTTTATAAATATAATTAAATTTGTGACACATATAACATTTTCAAAACCAAACCTCTCCTAGTAGCACTTCCTTGTTAGTTTGCTGTCTTCCTGTATATAGAAAAACATTCGGTAAACAAATATCACAACAAACATACGTCTATTAATGGCATCTTAAAATCTATATATTTTGTTAATGACTGGCGATTTTAACTATTTTTATGTGTAGATGATAGACATGGTTTGAAACATAGGGCAAAGCCCTTCGGTGCACTACAAAGGTTTTACCTGCAAATAATGAATATATGTGATGGGCGTGACACTTTTTTCAAATCTAAAATTTGACATTGAGTTCAAATATGAAGGTCAGGGCTTATTTCAATGGTGCATGGCTCAACATCTTGTGGTGATGCACAACTATTACAAATATCAAAGCCTATCAAAGAGGATAACATAGTGATGTTCCGGACACGGAATCGTCCCACACAATCAATGTTGTTTACATAGTCGTCAAAGGTCAAGGTCACAGGAAGGTCATAATGATACTCGAAACACCATCTTTCATGACAACAATAATATCAAAAGATTAAAAATATTTTGTACACAAGGATGTATATGAAGAAGAATATATACAAAAAAGAGGAGGGTGATCGAGAAGAGTATACACAAAAAAAGAGAACGATGATGAAGTATATAAAGACGCAAGTGTAGACATAACAGTACAAAACAAATTAAAGATTCGAAATTGCTTATGTAATAAAAAGTAAAATAACAAAAATACCGAACTCCAAGGAAAATTCAAATCGAAAAGTATCTTATCAAATTGCAAAATCAAAGCTCAAACACATTAAACGAATGGAAAACGACTGTCATATTCCTGACTTGGTACAGACATTTCCTCGTGTAGAAAATGGTGGATTAAACCTGGTTTTATAGTTAGCTAAACCTATCACTTGTATGACAGTCGTATAAAATTCCATTATATTGACAACGATGTGTGAACAAAACAAACAGACACAATAGGTAAAAATGTCAAAAATAGGGTTCAAAATTGCGATTTAATCTTAATCACATAAAATAGACTAATATTATTAAAAGCTTAATTCCTACGGTTAGAAAACTGGTAGTCTTATTCGAAAACAAGAGGATTATATCAAGTATTCCTTGAGAATTAGCTTATTATGCTTATAAACTATTTTTTTATCATTAAAAGGCACAAAGACAATCTTACGTGGTAACTTTGATGCGGGACCGTGTTCTAAAGACCGATATCAACCAGGCCACATGAAGTATTCAACAAACGTTAGCAGTGGATGTGTATTTGCTAAATCGCTATGTAGCGAGGAAGGCCAAATCCTATTCGATCAAGGAAGTCCTACTCAAGATGTTGAGTGCAGATGTGACTATACAGAAAACTACGACTTCATTTTTAGACAAAATAATTCTAGGTATTGCAAGCCTTCAGAAGAAGATTGTGCTTGCTTTAAAAAGCAGTGTCTGACTAATTACGTACTTTCATCAGGTATACTTTTATTTATTTGTTAAAACAAAATTCTTACAGTTGTAATTGCAAGACAGTTGTGCGTATATATTTTAATGTTGTTAAGTATAACATGTTTAATTTAATAAAACTAATCCAAATTACTTATTTAACTAATATCATTATTAAATCAATTGCTTGGTACATGTATTAAGAAATCAGTCGGGTTTTATTTATTAGATGTGTTATGCAAAAACACTTTCTTGCTTGCCAAATCACCCTCTCTATACATGCTATATGTAAACACACATATATTTTCAGATTATGCGTGCATTTTAACTCCAGCAATAACAAATGAACCACTGCTTGATAAACCTAGGTGAGTTAGCCAAATGCAAATTTGAACTTGTAACCAGTTGAATTTTTAGTAGAGTAAATCCAATACATATATAACTAGTGGTCTTATTGTTGAATATAATTTGATATGAACTACCATTTAATGAGTTAAATCTAGATTTTGGAGAATTACTCTTAATTTTTTTAAACTCTTGGGACATATATCTTATCCTTAAATAAAAAAAAACTGAGGAAGGCAAATCAAACTGTACATTAAACATAAAAAAAAACATGTGTCGTAACAGAAGTGAAACGGAAAATATGGCTGATAACGACAGTTTGAAATGAAGATAAAGGCATTTTTAACTATCGTCGAAAATTATATGATGGACAAAAACAAAAGATAACTGAAAAATACTGTTCACACACACCTCATTAAAACTTGGTTAGATATATATGAAGATGCTTTTTTTTCAACTATGAACTTGGTCGTGTTATCATTTTAAGTTCAGTACGGACCGAAATATTTATGATCTTCCGTGTCATTGATGAGTTTTAAAGGCTAGCAAGTTGGTAATGTTGACAACCGTATTGTTAGAATGGTGATGTTAATTGTGACTTTGGAAAGCTGGTGATCGTAGTGAAATTATTTTTCAGAAACGAAACAGAAATCCTGTTGATTCCACAGAGTAATATCACAAAACGAGGTATACGTTTTATTCGAGAAATTTCCCCCTAAACTTCTAAATTAGTTTGCATGTATTTAAAGGTAAACTTTATTAGATGTATGTTATATATTTGTTTTTCTAGCAGGATTTCTAACGACTTTGTGATTGATTGATTGATTGGTGGTTTTTTATGCCCATTACAGTATTCTCTGCTATATCGTGATTGTCACTTTATATTTGTAGAGGAAGTTGGAGTGCTCGGAAATAACCACCGACCTGCGGTAGGAAATGTGGCAATCCTATGTATTCAATTAAGACCGGAGTCAAACGCAACTGCTCAATAATAATAATAATAATAATAATAATAATAATAATAATAATAATAATAATAATAATAATATGTTGATGACTATTATTATTATTAAAGTGATAGTAATAGTATTGGAAACGAAATGGAATGTTTCCTTTTAGAAAAAAATATTTTTAATTTCCTGTAGACGTCTGTATACATTTTGTTGCAATTTTGAATTTGAATTTGAATTTCTATGCCATTAAAATTGAACTTTCCTGTATAATAGTTAGGTCATGTTTTCGTAGATATTGATTAGATGACCAATTTTGCTATCATGCTCTGTTTACAGAGAGGTTTCATCTACCAACACGCACAGCAATTCTCCTCATTTTGATATTGATAATTGGTGAGTACAAAAACTATCCTTTGGACTGTTAGTTCATATAATACAAACACGCACATTTGCACAATAACATTTCCTTTTTAATGCAATATTTGATTACTTATTTAATTGCAATTTATGCCACAAATAATAACACGTAAGATTAAATTTACAAATCATTATATTCAATTCAATTAATTTTGACTAAATAAATAAATGTTATCATAATGGTATGGTATAAAAAAAGTTACCATAAAATACATTTATTGTTAATAAAAAAAATTAACATAAGATCTTTTCAAACAAGGAATAAATGAACACCAAAATATGCAATTATGAATCTCATTTAAATTAATACAATGCAGCATCAGAAAACTGAAATAATAACAAAAACCAAGCATAACACATTTTTCGATTTTGTTCTCAAAACCTCATTTTCTTCTGTTACAGTTGTTTTCCTGGGTCCATTTTGTCATGACAAGGAGTTAGACAAGCTAATTGACCAGCACGTACGAAAAGGTTTAACGCTTGATTTTAGATGTACAATTTCCATCCACACTATTTTCAACTCTTTATCATAAGTAATGTTCAGAAATATCGGTGTTGTTCGGTCACGAGTTGAATATTTTTCGATATTTGAATTCTTTGATTAGTTATTCTTTTTATTACGTTGATAATGAGCTTTTTAATGGAATTAAAGTAGAAAATGAGAGGAACTATATCTTTTTCTACGCATTCACAATTTCCTTTGATGCGACACCGTTTGTTGTATGGCGTCAGAGGAGTGAAATGACCGAGGTTATTTCACATGTGAAATTATCGGTTTTTATTAAATTGGGAAATGACGGTAATTCATTGCATCAATGTAATAATATAGAAGTCCAAGTCCAAGTATATTCGGTATACACAGTGATTATAGTGATATGCCTGTCGGACATGGTTCATGTGACCATGACTGCATTTCCATTGTTCAGAGGTCAACATTACGTTTTGTGGGTTATATACTATAGGCAAATTTATCAACACGACGTATAAAAGTATTGTTATGTATACATGTTTCCTGGATAAGATCAGCCGATCATGACCTCATTTTATATGATTCATTTGCCAAAGACAATTTTTAGTGATTATGTTCGTTTCGAAGATACAATAAGCAACTTGTAATCTATATCCGGCGAAGATAATATCGTAAGGTGTACTTATGCGTCTAACAGGATTCCTATGGACTTGACTAAATCAAGTTGGATTATTTATTACTTCAAGTTAATGATTGTTTGATCATAGTTTGCCTTACGTTCAGCGGCCAGGTATATATCATATGGTATTAATGCCATTGAACTTAATGAGCTTCAATATAAAATTAAATTATTATCTATTCATTTAAGTCATTTGTGCACGCTTGTTTTGTTTTCGGTCATGTTTATCATATTTTCTGACCCGTTCATATAGGCCTATTTGTAATAGCCTTGCGTTTTGTAGTTTCCGCCGTCGCAAAATAGAGAACAATCCTTGTTGATGGACTTTTTTAAAAGTTATTTAACGGTTTTTAGACTTATTATATACGATATTTTGTAGCCTTTGAAACCACTCCCAACGGAGATTACTTCAATAATAGTAATATAAAATGAAATAAAAACAGTTTAAATAAATAGATTTGAATAACTTGAAGTATATACAACATTAAAATCTCTTTTATAGTTTACTTTGTAAGAAACCTCGAAGAAGAGGTTAAAGGCATTGAAGGTAAATCTGAAAAAATTACATGTGAGCTTTCTAAAAAAGACGTTGCAGTACAATGGTTGAAAGATGGAACACCTATTCAATTTCCTTGTACTCGTTTTATCAAAGATAGTGGCGGAAGATATTACACATTAATGATCAGTGACTTAAAAATGGAAGATGATGGTGTAATTACTCTGAAAGCTGGGAATAGATTAAGTCAGGGATTGAAGTTAAAAGTTCTTCGTAAGTAAAATAGAGTCTTCATATTTTTATGGTTTGTTCATGGTGCTTATTTGTTCTTAAACGGACTCAAATTTTAATCAAAAAGGAAATAAGAGTACATTTTAATTTTACGATTGCATAATATAACTGCGAACCTCTATCCGCGAACATATTATTTAAAAATGAGACGGGTTTAAGAAACAGAGACAATCCGTCGTTAAATATTTTAATTATTTTGTTCAGAACTGTATTTATTTTTTCAGCATATTTTACCACAAATTTAAAACCACTTACTAGTACTGAAGGTCAAACTGTTTTTATTGAATTCCAAACAGTTGAAAACATAAGTGATGTTACCTGCATTTGGTTCTTCAATGATAATGAAATAAACGATTCTGAGAAATATCTGACAAGACAATCAGGAGTCGATTGTCAATTGACGATAAAGGAAGTCAAACCTATCGATAGTGGGGAATATCAAATCAGAATAAGGAATATTTCAAGACGTACAGAGTTAAAGGTGCAATGTATGTATCACTTACTAAACAGTATAAAAAATTTCCAATGAATAACTTTTCAAAACAGTTTGGTCTTGGTTTAAGGTTATTATAAAATAAGGAGATGTGGTTTTCTAATGAGAGAAATGTCCAATAGCGTCTACTATAAGTCACCGTTGGGGTTCTTTGATATGCTGAATCTGACCGTAAAATATAGATTTTTGATTTGTGCACGGTTTACAAATTCGTCCACATTAAGGTCCAAAGGGTCCATGATTAAACTTAGTTTGATTTTAACAAAAAAAATCAAGAGTTTTTTTTTGATATGCTGAGTTTGATTATAGTGTTTGATTTTGATCCTAGTTTTCAAGTTGGTCCAAAACGGATTCAAAATCAAACTATGTTTGAATTCAACACAAATTGGATATATGGGGTTCTTTTATATGCTGAATCTAAATGTGTATTTAGATTTTAGATTTTTAACCCCGTTAACAAATTGGTCGATATTGCGTTCCAAAGGGTCAAAATTAAACTTGGGGTTCTTTGATATGTAGAATCTAATATTTATATTTTGGATATTGGACCATAATAGATGAAAGTCCAATTTCAAGTTTTAAGTTCTTAGACAACATTTTTTCTGTGTAAGATACATTGTGTACCTATGCTATGTAAAATATTTAATCACAATCAAAATTCAGAGCTGTATTGCACATTTAATAGATATTGCCAGTAGGTTCATAGTTAAAAATAAATATAGCACCTTATTCTAATTTTAGAAATTATGTATAAATGTATTAAAAACATTTTCAGACTTTCTCAAAATAAGTGTTCATATCTTAGTTAAGTAGATGTTTAAGGGGATAGTTTATGATAGACCTGTTTTCAAGAGATACGTAACATTAATACAATTTCCCTGATACAATTTCTTTTCTGATATTCAGCTTACTTCAAAGCTGATCTGCGACCTATTCCTTGTGTCGAAGGAGGAGAATGTCTTTTAGAGTGTGAAGTAACTGGTAATAATAATATGCCTGCTATCTGGTTTAAAGATGGGAATCAGATAGATACATCTGAAAGAGTACTGATTTCTATGAACGGTACTAAACATCAATTGAAAATTTTGAATGTGAAGTCAGACGATCGTGGTGATTATAAAATAACAGTGAATAATGTATCACGGCAAGCCGATGTCAAAGTTATAGGTATGTTTATGTTATCTTTACAAGAGAAAGTGTCTTATTTTTTGCATTCGCTTTTGTAAATGTTGTTCTGAACAAAACTTCATTTACATATACCTATCCCCATTCTGTGTTGTACACGTTGATGACAGATCTTTGTTACGTCTGTTAAAGTTATTCACATTTTCCCCTGACTAAGATTGACCATTTATATGGGGGTTATATATATACTGTACATGTATAGTCTTCTGGTATCCAGCTTCTCTTGCGAGCGAACGGTTATGTTCAGATTACTGTTTACATCACAATTCAATTTTGGGTCCTCATTGCGGTCCGCATTTAAGTCATGTCGATCTCATTCAAAAACAATTCAATGATTGGGTTGGACAAAATTATATTATGTTGCAGAATCGAAACAATATTCGTAGTGTAGGAAAATATAAATGTATTTGTACTCTCTACGAAACAGTAGAACATCTCTGCGAGCCTCACTTTTTCTTTTGATTCTAAAGCTCGTCAAATACGCTACATATTTTTCAACATTGTAGTAATATTGTTTATATAATTATTGACTATTCATTGAGCGTCATTTCCTCGAAGCAGTTCTTCCTTTCGATAAGGAAATAACCTGCCTCAAATTATAGATTTATAGAGTCCGAAAAGGAAATAACGCGACATTTAGAATAAATAATTATCATGAGTATTATCAATATAAACTACACTGACGAATGAATCAAGATTTACAAACGCTGTTCGTTCTGACATTCAAATGGCAATAACATAAACGTATTTTGAAATCCATGTCTGAAGATGTGTTTAATTCGATTGATAATTTTTTCACTAGTATAATTTGGCATTGAACTATTGTGTATACTATGATTTAGCGTCTAATCTTGTACATGTTAAAACAGGTGGATAAATTTGCCAAGACATTTTTATATTTCAGATCTATTTTCAAAGCCTTTGACGAACACCAGTTGCATGGAGGGTCTAAGGGCAGTTCTTATTTGTGAAGTGGTCGATAAGCAAATCAATGCCAAGTGGTCAAAAGACGGTATACCAATTGGTGAAAATTCTGACATATTTGTTCAGTCGTCTGATGGCATTCACAAGTTATGCATAAATCAAACTGATAAAAACAGTGAAGGACAGTATCAAATCAACGTTGGAAATAGAAACAGTTCAGCATATTTAAAAGTAACAGGTCAGTCATTGACCCTAAATATAATCAAATTTAAACATTTTATCATAAGATTTCCCCAGATTCTGTTTGTGTAACTTTTGTGTCAAATTTTCGAAATAGGTTGTCATATATGTCATTAATTAATGGTTTTTTTAAGAATAGTTGATGGAATATCTTTGATAATTTGTGTCGAATGTCAAAATTTAATGTTGAATGTTACAAAACGAATGTTGAATATTGAAATGGAATGTTGAATGTAGAAAATCGAATATTGAAAGTTGAAAAATGAATGTTGAATATTGATATTGAATGTTGAATGTTGAAAAACGAATTTGAATATTGAACTCGAATGTTAATCGTTAAAAACAAAGAATGTTGAATATTGAACTCGAATGTTAATCGTTAAAAACAAAGAATGTTGAATATTGAACTCGAATGTTGTATGTTGAAAATTAAACTTTGAAATCGAATATTGAAAGGATAAATAAATTGTAAAAAGAAAAAAAATATGAAAATAGCAAATTTTGAATGTTGCTTGGATGAATGTTAAATATTGAATATTGAACTTGACATCCTTCTTTGCTTTTGGATGGTTTGCTGTATATGTAGAAACCTTATTACTTAGGGAAGATCACATCCGAATTTCAATCGTAATATTGATAATAGAGCCTGTAAATTTAAACACAATCCATGTACACTTATTATTCATTTGATTAAACGTATTCGTTAGGCTTCTCGATTCAATGATATATATAAAATTTCTTAAATGAAAATATCTTTAGAAGAATTTTTACACTTTTACTAATAGCAATGCCAGATTTTATCAGACGAATGCCACTTGAAGATAGAGAAAGATATCTGAGGACTGCTAAAGATGGTACAATGAAGAGACGACACATTAGAATTATGATTGTTGGAAAATATTCAGCCGGTAAAACTTGTTTAATGCGACGTTTACTGAATGAGGAAATTAATGACGTTATAAGTACAGATGGCATTAACGTAGAAGTAAGGAGATGTAAAGTAAGGATTTCAGACGGACAGTGGATTTTTAGTGAAGGTTTGTATTTTCGACGAAAAATTGAATTTTTGCGCATTTTATATTTTCTTTGAAAGTACTAGTAAAAGCAAAGATAAAATTTCTTTGCTGCTTAGCTTATATTGCATTTTATATCATATTAAATACGAGTTATATTTGTGTATTTATTGTATGGTAGTTTTAACTTTCTTTAACTTTTCAACTGATTTTTACAGTTTGTTCTTATGTTCTGCTGTTACAATACTTTTCAAGGTTAAAAAATGAAAACAACACGTTATAAATTTCATGCGTCCGAAGCGCTTTTCTGGATTTACCCTCATCAGCAACGCTCAAAGCCAAACATTTGAAAGTCAAGGATTTATAAGGACCGAAAACGTTGAAGAGCTATAAACCAAAAAGGACATAAAAATAGCCAAATCCATCTAAGGTCAACATTGCCTGAGGGAGTTGAAACCTTAGTTTTTTTCTTAATTTCAAAATTTATAAACGGGCAATTTTAGAAAGTTTGTTATAAATCATGTCAATAACGAAGTACTAACTACTGAGCTGATGATACCCTCGGGGACTGAAAGTCCACCAGCAGAGGTATCGGCGTAAGGGGGGGTGCCCATAAACATATTTAACCCCAGGAAATGTGTCTGTCCCAAGTTATGACTTGCATTGTAGTGGTTGTCGTTTGTTGTTATATATTACATTAGTTTTTCGTTGAATGTTTTGTACATGAAACCAGGCCGTTTTCTCGTTTGAATTGTTTTAAATAATGTTTACCGATTTGACTCGAATTCTTACATTTGATTTATAAAATACTTAAACGTTTATCCAAATTACAAAAAAGTCTAAAATAAACAACCAAAAATGCATGGACTCGATTATATGTATCAAAATTTCGTGTGTTTTTTTTTGTCTAGACGTCATCTAATTTACCATCGAGATGACCTCCGAAGACTTCTGACGGTCATATAACCCCATATAAACATATATATAGATATAAACAGATAGCGTTCACGTGCAATTGGGTTTTTCTAGGTCTGTTTGATTTCAAATTGTAGGTTAAAAGGTGTGTTGATCATCATTTTTGCCCGTATAAGAATGATTTTGTTGTGGATCGAATCAGTCAACCAAAAAGTTCATCCTTGTTTCACTTTCAATATTGACAATCTTTTCCTTTAAATGAATATGCACGTAACCCATCTCCAGCTAAGGGGTAAAATTGAAGGTCACATGAATACGGATTCAGTGAGATTGAATTATTCATCAAGGATGTTCGTTAGCTTATTCTGACAAAATTGAACCAAACTGGCTGCTAAAAGTGAATCATTATTTAACTTTATCACTTTCATTAATGATTAAACAAACAAAAAATCATGTTCTAAAAAATGTATATCTCGTAGATAATGCCCCTTAAACATGGTTTTAATTATTTATGTTTCTTTGGGGAAAGGAACACAAACTGGTTTAACAATAAGAAATGCATTTAATAAATTTAACCACATTTGTTATATGTCTGATCATTTTAAAGAGAATGGTCATGCATGCTATATGCCTTAAGCAATTATCTCCGTTATACTGAATAAAATATTTCAGAAAAATGCTACAAGCAGGACTTTGACGGAAAATTTAAGAACGCGTTGTCTGCAAAAATACATGATTACAGCAATCCGAAGCCTTTAGTTTCTGCCAATATAGAACAACTTGATTACATCAGCATTCACAGTAATGCCACAGACCAGTCGTTAAATAAAGACAAAACGACCCCTGTGGTCGAGGAAAACATTAGTCTAAAAAGTAGGAAACAAGATTCAAAGGACATCCAAACCGCTGAATTGGTGGCTCCAAAAAGATGTCACACATTAACCGAGGTCAAAGGCGATTTTTCACATAATGTCTTTCAACAAGATAGTAAATTATTGGATGAAAATGAAATGAAAAGTATGAAGGAAACATCAATTAGAACTATGTCAATACAGAAAAGCAACGACTTCGAACAAAATAGGACTAATAAAAGCAACACTGAACAGACAACAGAATTAAAAATAAAACCCTTACATGAGCTTCAGCCAAAGCAAATTCATACGGACGAATCCATTGAAAATAAGGAAACAGACCAGCTCTATCTGCTGTCCAATGTTCTGCAGAGTGAGGGCAATACAGACAATATAGAATGTGCTGAATGTGATTTTTGGGACTTTGCTGGACAAAGAGATTTTTATGCTACACATCAAACTTTTCTGACTATGAATGCAATTTACCTGTTGACTATAGACTTATCAAGTTTCGAAACAGCTCAGCCAGTCCAACAGGAAGGCGGTAAATTAGACGATATTGGAGGTAAGCAAAAACAGTATTCTAAATTGGTAATTCAATGCATTTTGTATCTGCTATCAAAACAGAAACAAATACCAGACGGTGAAGCAAAGGTATAATTGTGTTACATACATGATTCTAATTGAGATTGAAATAATTTGAAGAATTTAATATTTCATCATTAAGATGAAATGTGACTTATCGTTTCAAATATAATGGAAAAATTGACATTTAGTTATTGCATACATTGTTCTATTCTAATTACTAAAATATAGTTAAATCAGTGAAACCAAATCATCTTTTCTTTATGTAAGGTAGCTTTAAATAAATCCTTTAAAGTTACTTCATCTTTATATTAAACAAGTGAAACGATGTGAGGCAAATATGAGGAAAACAACATCTGTTACCTTCGCTGAATATCTGAATTAAAGATATTTTGTTCGATATGTAACAGTCAGCTTGATATTTACTAGTGAAAACATTCAGATAATTAAACGTCCAGTATGTGGTTCAGTTTTTTTTAATATCTTTTTCAAAAACTGTTTTGAAATTTATGAACGTTTTTAATTATCAAAAACTAGATGATAACTTTTGATTTTCTGTATTTAAATGATGAATTTTTGTTCAGTTTACATTCACATGCAGTCTTCGGATTAACAATTTTTCTACATAAATCATGCAAAAAAATAGAATAGAAAACCTTTTGAAGATTGGGAAATTGCATCAGTAGAAAAAGTTGAAGTATTTTTTTGTTTCTTTTGTAAATTTATTATGAAAAGAATCAAAACATATATTGAAAAAAAAAATCCCGAAAAACAACCCAGAAAACATAACAAAACAACGGTAGTCCCGTTAAAGTCAAGTATATTATTTTAATCATTTATCTACAATGTCAGGTTGAACAATATCATAATATATAGAAAGAGTACACAATGATAACATTTTTAAATGGTTGACGCGTTTGTCGACTTTAATGTTCTTTTTATATCTTCGTTTTCATAAGAATAGAAATGTCGGTAATGTGTCGAACATTTTCCGGGGAGGCGTCCAGAGTTGTAAATGAGCGTGACTCCAAAGATATCCCTTTGCTGACTTTGTTGAGTAAAACAGAATTTTTTATTTTTAGAATACACAAATTACTGGTTGGATTGTATTCATTGTTACTCAACACAGAATCGAAAAGAAAAGATGGAAGAAAGAGAGCCTCCAGTTATCATTGTTTGTACAGGGATAGACAAAGTAACGGTAATAAGTCTGATTCATGTTTGTTTATAAATTATGTGCAAAATTTCCATCTGTTTTGACTGCAAAAATAGTTGATAAATATTGTTAGTTTTATCTTTAGTTTGAAAACAACAACCAAAACGTTTATATAACTATAGGGTTGGCGTTACTATATGATATGTGCCAAAAAGTACAAAAGATTCCAAGATTGGGCAATGAAAACCATTATCAGAAGACAGACAGACAGACAGTTAAAACAAAAACTATTTAAACAAAGAAAATCAAAATGGAATATAGACAAAGTACATAAGCAAAAATGAAAGACAAGAATACAAAAATGACCATAGCACAATAACATAATTGCAGGATGTATAAATACCTAGCCACGCCAAAAGTAGATACCAAAATGAAATAAACAATAAAGGTAAAAATATACAAAGACAAATAACAAGAACACAATAACACGTGATTAAGATGATTTACAACGTCAGTACCTGAAATCTATATTTCAAGACCATCATGTATTATTTGTGAAGTTGATTCGGAATATTTATCAACAAAGTCTCGGTATCTTCCGATTAACCTTTCTAGTAAAAAGGACGAGACGTTCATTGACATAACCATGGTTCATCAACTTTCTGCTCAGACACTGGTGAGATTTTATAAAGTTTGAGTAATAGCTTCACGCTCTTGAATACCGAAAGAGTTAGGAAATGTATATCCCATATGCAAGTGAAGTTGACATATTGCTGCTAAGGTGGAGAAAATTTATAATTTCTAAATTAAAATCGTCTCGTTTGTCATAGATTCTGGTACTGAGATGAAAACTCGCGTCAAATTCGAGGTATAAGTCTATAAATCATGAACTAACCGACAGATAAAAAAACTTTTCTTAAAACTATTTCATTATTGTGTTTCTACTCTATAGGATTTCCATAAAGTTACAAAAAGCTTCAAACATCACTTGGAAGAAAATGTTGGTTCTCATCCCAAACGGTTCCATATAAGAGACATTGTCTACCTCTCAAACAAAGATAAAGATAAAAATAAGTTTGACATTCTTCGTTCAAAAATATGGAAAACTGTCAAAAGCATGTCTTCTTGGGAAGACGAACTTCCATTATCATGGATACATCTTGAAAAACAGTTACAAGTCAAAAGTGATAAGGAAAATATAGTTTCTTTGGAAGATGTTATGAAAATTGGTCGTGAAAGTACTTTTCCAGTGACAAATGAGGAAGATGTCATTTCATTTCTACGAGTTCAACATGAGATGGGGAATATTATTTTTTTCCACAGACTGAGAGAGTATATTATTTTGAATCCGGTATGGTTAGTAGATGCATTCAGATGTCTCGTATCACCGTGTGAATTCCAACAACATCATCTTGATATAGATAATTTAAACCAGATAGCAGACACTGGCGAAATTATGATTGATTATATAGAGCAGATGTTTACCAAGGTACCGAAACTTAACTTTTTCAAGCATAAAGATCATCTACTAAAAGTAATGGAAGAATTTGACATAATTGTCAGGCCAAAAACTAGACGACCTCTTTCGTTCCAGCAAGGCTATTACATACCCTGCTTAATTAAATATGGAACATTTGCAACAGTAAGTGATAATTTCGGTGTCAATAAGAACAACTGCCAGAGAACACCGTGGGTTTGCCTAGAATTTGATTTTTTACCACCGGCATTCTTTAACCATATTTTAGTTCACTTAATTCGAATTTACCATGTGAGTGAAGCTGATGTGAAATCCCGACTAGCACTGTATAGTAGTTTCGGTGTTTTCGATTTAAACAAGTCGGCAACGTCAAAACTTGTTCTTTGTACTGCAAATGACACAATAGCCTTTCAGGTATGGCAATGGCTTAGAGATAGATCACAATTTGTATACCTTCGAACGAAAATAGAAGAAATAGTCGATGATGTTATCAAGAGGTATCGAATGGATATCAAATACGACGTCAAATATAAATGCAAAACTGGAACATTTTCAAAACAAATGGGTAGAAAAACTGCCAGTGAGCTAAGTCAGCTGAAAAAGTACTGTTGTTCGGAACACAACGAAAACCATGAAGCAAAAGAAATAATTGACGTATGGATAGAGCAGCAGAAATCTAAGGTGAGGTTGAAGGCATGTCTCTTTGTCTTTTTGGCATAATTGTCACATTGGCAATAATGCCACATCGCCTTGTTTTAATATTATACCGCAGTTTACTGAATATTGTTTTGGAATAGAGGTTTCATGGAAAATTCAATTAATTTAACCCGTGACGAATAATGACAAAGTAACATGCCAAGTATTTAGCTACATTTAACTCAAGATAATCATGAATTTATGTGTTTCCTTATTATGTGTACTTACGTTATTAACGAAACCTTAGTATCATAAATTGGTATACTGTAAACCAACTAATTTTCGCGTCTTTCGCGAGTAGAAAAATAACGCGAATTTAAATCGTCGCGAATATGTAATTCTTGGATCTTTCCTCATTCAACTACATCAAGCAAATTTGAAAATCGCAAAATTAAACCGTCGCGAAGTGGGCTAGTAAGGGCTAAACGCGAAATAAAGTATCCGCGAAAATAAGTTGGTTTACAGTAAGTCGAATAGTATACATACAAAGAATTTGTTTAACGCAAATCCGCTTCTTTGCTTTTCTCTTGGTACATTGTATGATAAATAACGTGTTTTGTATAGTTGTACATATTCAATTGAATTAAGGAAATCGCGTATTTGCTATGCCTTTATGTGCCCTTTATAATGTTTACTTTCAGGGATTTCCCGAAGAGACAATCGGTACGTATTCTATGTCGAGAGCGGATAAATATTGTATTCCACAAGATTTGGTTGTGGAATCTGTTTCTCTAATGATTGTTAAACGAAATGCAGACAAATTCAATCCTTTCTTTCGAATGATCTGCAAAAAGATGTGTTCTTTCTATGTGACGTCATCAGGCATGGTCGCCTTTTTACATGACGTGACAATAGAAAATACAGAGAAAAGCAAGAAGATTTGACGTCTTAATCGAATTTTGACTAGGTCAGGAAAGGATAATTCGTGTAAGAATTAGAGAAAACAAGATATACTCTTGCAAATTCTTCAGGATAATAAATGTTTATATTTCAAAGTGAATAATGAATTTAAGTAACACTTTATAATTGCTATTCGTTTTTAGCGCTTTTCTGGATTTACCTAAAGGAAACTCACAGCCAAACATTGAAAGCAAGGATTTAAAAATACCGAAACACGTAAAAAGCTATAGGACCAAAAACGACTTTTAAAAAAAACCGAATCCATCTACGGTCAGCTTAACCTAAGGGAAATTGAACCAAAAATGTTAAGGAAGTGACCCTTTATTAACCGGAAGTAGTTATTTTTTAATTATTTTCAAGTAAAACTCACTAAAACTTTTTATTACAAAAATCAGTGTAAAGTAAGGTTCAAATGAAACCGGAGGTAAAATTGATTCAACCGGATGTACCAGATTATTTCCTTTATTTTAAGCAAATGTATGTAAAAACCATTTTTTTTTTAATCAGCAAAAATTAAGCTATTATCGGATACCAGAATTTTACATTTCAAACCGGTAGTGAATATTTTCCTATCCAAATACATCAGTTGGGGTGGAAAGACCTTCTATTGTTCTCTTAACATTTGCTTTTTGATTATTATTTTGTTCTTTTCACGAAATAACAAAGTCATATTTACAGCATTTACCAGCTTTATGAAGTATAAATTTGTGATCTACGTATATTGGATAACTCTACTGTATATTATAATATATCTAATGTTATTGCAATTGCTGAACGATTTTAAGATTCAGTGTCAATTTTGAATTAATAATAAATTCATTTAATTATTTTTACAGATCGCGAATGGAATAAGCAGATAAAGTAAGTTTTTACAGACAATTTTTTTCAATTTTACATCATTATCTAGATTGCAAATTTGACAGCTAGTTTTACTATAAATAATGAAGAGACACATTTCGTCATACCTTTACTAAGCTGTTCACAAAGATGTGGAAAATAGAAAATAGAAAAAGATAAGTTGAACAGGTTCCCGCTTTTGTGCTCGATGTCTTGGGTTGTATACATTTGGGGCTTGCGCGTTCCTGATAAATTTGTATTCAGAAAAAAAAACGAAACTCACGAAATTTTGCCCTTTCCTCACATTATTGGAGTTATTGCTCTTTAATGCCGATTTTACCAATATTGATTGTTTTCCCTATTATCTTGAAAGCTATAATAAATAGGTAGACTTTAAATAGCAAAAATGATGAGCATGACAAGATCTACAACTAAGTCAGCAGAGCTGACTCGTCAGTCGACTCATTATAGGAGTTAGTGTTCTTTAAGTACGATTTGTACAATTTTTTGGCGTTTTTGCCTATTTTCCTGAAAACTAGAAAAGATAGATAGAAAGTTTATATAACAAACATGATCAACAAGAGAAGATCTACCAAAATAGTTTGCTGACTCTTTATAGTAGTGATTGTTCTTAAATAACGATTTTGTTTACCCTCTTTTGGGGGAAAACAAAGAGAAAAACTGTAAACTGAATAAATGATCAGCAATATATACAAGATGAACAAAAAAGTGATTTTAGTCATGAATTATTCTTGTCTACAATGTTTGAGAGTGTCCATTGTTGAAAATGCACATAGACCTAGGTGAGCGATACAGGCTTTTTAGAGCCACTAGTTTTCAATTCATGGATATAATATATAACGATACCATTTCAGGTGCAAGTCATGTGGTTTAGTTGCAGTTTATTGGTGTGAGAATTGCGAAAAAGCCATGTGTGAAGTGTGTAATGAGAAACACACACTTGCATCAACACAGCATACAGTTGTCAATGTGTTAGACAAGTATATATTAAAGAATCAGTTTGTGGTGGATAAAGCTTCAATTTGTGACATTAAAATGCTTAGTGAAACCCTATTAGTTGCTGATTTCATCGGAAAGCAACTTATTCTTTACAATACCAATGGAATAGACCAACGCACTGTACCTTTATCGAAAGGGCCGAGAAAAATAGCTATTGTTGACAACAAACGTGTTGCAGTGAGATTATTCAGAGATAGTAAAGTTGTGATAGTAGATTTATACCAAAGCGGAATTTTCGAAATAGATATAAAGGAAAAATGTCATGGAATTATGTACATGAACAACAAACTATTTGTAGGCTGTGATGATAATACCTTAAGAGTATTTGATTTGAACGGAGAGAAAATTAAGACTATTGATATGCCATTTAAGCCTTGGTATATCTGTAGTGATAGTGAAAATCGTATTTTATGCACCGAAGAATATAATGCAAACAAAGTGTCTTGTTTTGATCAGGATGGTAACGAACTGTTTATCATCAGTAATAACTATATGGTTGGAGTAGCAGGAATAACAGTTGACGATAATGGGTTTATTCTTGTCTCTTGTAAGAACTCACATAACGTTCATAGAATAAATCCAAATGACAAAAAGAGTGAAATCATAATTTCAAAGATTCCGGGATTGTCAACGGACTGGTTTCCATATATCTGCTTCGATTCTCAGTCAGAATCAGTGATCATTGCCCGTGAAGATAAGGTGTATGTGTATGCCAAGCAAATGGATTTATAAGTTATAAGCTATTTTATGTTAAGTTTAGTTGTTGTAAAAACAAATAATCTATAGTGTACATTTCAAGAGATAATATTCATAAAAAATAGTTTTCTTATACACATATGAATCTTTTATAAATATTGAAACACCAAACATCGATAACAAAAGGAGTAACCGATCAAAAATATTGCAATACATTTTTTATGAATTGTATGACTCAAAAATAACAAAAATAATAAATAAATAAAATTTCTTGCCAAATCTTGTGTTCAATATTTTACGACAATGTCATCTTTGGTTTCTTTTTACTTCTGTATGCGTTGCAGTTGCAATTTACGTCCTCTTTTTGTCGTATTTTGTGATATCTTACGTTTTTACGTATATTTTGAATGAATCACTAAATGACTACATGGTGTTGCTTGTCCGTTTTTGACGTTTAATGTTATTTGCTCATTTTATATTTTATTTCCTTTTTAACATGGGTATGGAAATATCTATGATTATACTAGAAACATGATTTATCAATATACACCATGACAAAATGTCTTATCTCATATCACGTTTATTACTTCTGATGAGAATGAAAAAGTTAAAAAAAAAAACGATCCTTGTGAAGCAATGAAATTTTTGTTTGATTAGGTATACAAATGAAGAAGTAATTGTAATCTTACATCTAGAACACAGTCACCATACCAACACATTTAAATTGCGTAACAAAATCTTAGTGCAAACTGCTATATGTAGTGATATGGTAGTGACATTGCTGATCTTAATTGTAGTAAGACCGACTATACAAGTCTTATAGTTAGAAAATTCAATATTTACTGAATAATACATACTAAAATTGAGAATGGAAATGGGGAATATGTCAAAGAGACAACAACCCGACCAAAGAGCAGACAACAGCCGAAGGCCACCAATGGGTCTTCATTGCAGCGAGAAAATCCGCACCCGGAGGTGGTCCTCAGCTGGCCCCTAAATAAAATTGTGTGCTAGTTCAGAGAAAATGGACGTCACACTAAACTCCAAAACATATAAATGAAATTAAAAAAACCATACAAGACTAACAAAGGCCAGAGGCTCCTGACTTGGGACAGGCGCAAAAATGCGGCGGGGTTAAACATGTTTAGTGAGATCTCAACCCTCCCCCTATACCTCTAGCCAATGTAGAATAAAGAAACACATAGTAATACGCACAGTAAAACTCAGTTTAAAAGAAGTCCGACTCCGATGTCAAAATAGGTAACAAAAGAAACTAAGCAAAATGAAAAAAATTGATACATAAATGAACAAAGGACTACTAGCAGTTACTGACATGCCAGCTCCAGACCTCAATTAAACCTATTGAAAGATTATGTCTTCATCATATGAAAATCAAGTACAATCCCTCCCGTTAGGGGTTTAGTATCATACCATCATAAAATATATGAGAAGAACATAACCCGTATCATGCCAACAACTGGTTTTAGAATAAATGTGTTTATTTCCGATGCAAAGACCCTATGAGTGAACCAATATTAATACCAAAATATGCAATCCTTAATGACTTGACAACAGTATCGTAACTATATCCTTTCCGAATAAGTATGTTTAAAGGTTTGGTTAGCTTTTGAGGTGAATGCCGACATTTTTGTGCTTTGTAAAGAATATTACCATAAATATTGGATGTGAAATACCTGAACGTATAAGATGTCTGAATGTTGATTTATATTTACGAATGGTGTCCTTGTACCGATGATAAAATTTAGTAAATGTTTTGACTAGTTTGTGATATCGAAAACCCTGGCGTAATAATTTTTCAGTAATACAGAGATTTCTTTCGTTGAAATCAAATACGTTGTTACATACACGAGCGAATCGAACAAGTTGAGATATATAGACACCATAAGATGGCGACAAGGGAACGTCACCATCTAAAAATGGATAATTAACAATAGGAAATGACAAATCATCTCTTTTATCATAAATTTTGGTATTAAGCTTTCTGAGCGTATATAAAAGATATAAGTTTGGTCTTTAAGTGATGTATTTCCATTTATTCTAAAATCTTAAACTTCTCAATAGACATGACACAAATTTCAACAAATATAAATTATATGAATAACTAAACAACAAGCTCATACAATACAAAATGTGGAAAATTTGTTCTTTTATCCCCAATTCTGAATTGTTCGATCAGACACAAAATCTCCTTTAGGACTTGTAGTACCTGGAGATAGTAATGCCAAATACACTGGTGTATCGGCTCCTAAAAGAGAAAAAAACAGAAGAAAAGTCACTGCAAACAGACAAGATCTGTTTAAATCATTACAATTACAATCTTGTTTAAGTGTTAAACCTTGATAGTTACCTTTATTTTATATTTCAGCTATTTGTGAAATGTTTTGATTAATGCATTGTAAAGTATATGATTTGTATACTTGCACTCCGACCGTTGGAGTCATTTTAGAAGCGTATCGACGCACTGCTGGAAAATGAAGATAAAATTTAATATTTTTGGTGCGTTCAAAGCACTTTTCAGTCATCAGGAATTACTTGAAGATAAGTTTATTTAGTGTCAAGAATGACTGTGTAAATGCATACTTCTGACCTTGACCTCTTTTTAAGACGAAATTTTTAAACTAAATTATTATGAAATAAGATGAAATATTTTAATGAAAATGTTATGACATCAGATGAATTATTCTTTAAATATTGAAATCACGTGATAGAAACAAAGCGACGTGGTATGATTGCCAGTGAGAAAACTATTCACCGGGTTCCAAATGAAATTGATACAAACATTTTTATATCACCATAAGGCCGTCAACATTGAGCCAAACTTATTTCGCATAGTACGCTATAAAAGGCTTCGATATGACAAAATGTGAAAAGAATTTAAACTACAAAACCAATTCACGATTTATGTCAACACAGCAAACAACAAACCTTAGTTTATACTTTATTTCCAACTTTACACAGATAGTTTCCCTTGCAATATTGTGTTCATATACCTCGGATATTCATAAATCTTAATAGATCGCATAAAGTGAATCGCCGTAAGTTTCGGTCTTTCCGGCAAATAATTGATTCATATCGGACTCGGTTGGATAGTCGTGTCATTGGCAATCCATTGGCAATCATACAACATCTCCTTATTTTATATCTATTGTATTTCATTTTTAGTATACAGTTGACTATATATTTTCTAATGTGCTTGAGCAATTTTGAAGTTTATATCTTTCTTCACTATAACGAAATTTGGAATAATGTTTTCTCTAATTTTCATGCTTTATTCACATTTCTCGACAGGCAAATGATTGATCGAAATTTAATTATGACGTCAAATTTTCTTAGTTCCTTCAGAATTTCCTATTGTGACGTCATGAAAAAGGGTGACCATGCTTGATGACGTCAAATATAAAGAAACACAACTTTCGGCAAATCTTTGAAAAACAAGGATAAACTTTGTTTAGATATCGTCTAAAAATCATTAGAGAAACAGATTCCACCACTGTAACTGTAACTCTTGTATAACGATATTTCTCCATTCCCAACAGTTAAATTTTAATTATTTAAAAAGCTCGGCAAGCCTCGCGGTTTAAATATTAAAATTTAACTGTCTCGAGTGGAGAAATATCGTAATACACTTGATGCAGTGGTGGAATAAATATGTACCAAAATCTGCATTGGTTTTTTTGTTGGTTAAAATTTACATGTATATATTCTAGTCATGACTTTAGCATAAGCAATGCGTATGTGTTACCTTCCGTTATTGTCTTAGGGCCTTTATGTAATGTCATATCTGTTGCAACATAGCCAGGACAACACTGAAAAGATGAAAAATAAAAATCAAATACACCTAGTCTCTTTTAGTTTGTCGCATTGAAGAAGCTTGCTGTAAAATTCTAACTTTACGTTTTTCCCAAACTGCAAAGTAGCAGTGACTTTGCTTTGATAAACTATCATGAAAGTCAACGTACCGTAGCGAGGGACGTTACCACTGATTCGGGGTGTGCGTTTTTCCTTGTAAACTTATTGGTATATATTTTTAAATATACATATGTTTTAGTATATGTTTTTATTTTTTTCTTCCCAAAAATGTATAACTGAAAGTTGTTGTATAGATATTTACCTCCAATATAACATTAAATAATAAGTAATGATGTTTTTCATTTACTGTTGTTGATAAACAATGAGTTCTATAAATTGTTATATAGGAAATCTTATAGGTCCATATCAATCAATCACTTCATTTATTATGTGGATATTCTAGAAATGTGGAGTGACATTCTCTACTGAACAAGTCAAGAATAAGATCCACTTTAGGAACGAAATGTCTTTCAAAATTATTCCGTTCTACTTCTGTTCAATTTGTCAAGTTAGTAAAAATAAAAATGTAGATTCTTTTAGTGTGTTTTCCAGAAAAAAAAAAAATATTTTTGACTAAGTTTTTGTTACAAGATATTTCAGAGAAATCAGTTCTCATGGAAGACTTACAGCATTAACGACAATATCTTCCCTAGGATCTGAGTTTAATTCTCTTTGTTGAATGAACGTCATAACAGTTACTCCTAGTTTTGACATTCCATAAGGTTTAAAAAAGAATCCTTGTTTTTCATGGTCATCAATTTGTGCAGCACTGAAATAATGTACAATTTATTTCATCAGCAATCCAAATATACAAAATCATATTGAATTCTAAATTAACAATCACTGGTAACTTACAATAAAATATAGCGCCGTCGAGGGAAACTGTTCGTCAGACAGGTTTTACGGTGAAAAGCAACACTTCTGTCATAAATTTATACTTTCGAGACTATACAAGAGAGGCGAAAGATACTTAAGGGATATTCAAACTCATTAGTCGAAAATAAACAACGCCATGGCAAAAAAAAAGGTAAACGAAAACCAAAATCTGAGTAACACGAACCAAACCAAAACCAGGTGCCCCGGAAGGGAAAGCAGATCCTGCTCCACATGTGGCACCCGTCGTGTTGCTCATGTAAGTATAAATCCGGTGATAAGTCTAATGCAGATGGTCACATTCGAGGAAAAGAGGACGGGATTGTGATGACGATCGCGACAATTGGAACGTATCCGTTGTCATCTGTGAAACAGATATTCCATACCGGTCAACCAACTCGTGATGGTGTCCGTAAAATTTTCAAAGGGATTAATTCAACTTCACTACTTGGAACTCTTAGTTCAATAGCTTCCTTGAAAGCAGCAACCCTCTATCCAGGAAATTATGATAAGAAATGCAAGCCCTGGAAAATCGTTTCAACTTGAAGATATACTAGTATACTTGAATGCTACTACATAGAAATGGAAAGTTCACAATTGGGAAGCTGAAATCATCTCTTTTTCGTAAAGTTTTGTTCTCAACTGGCACTCATTGTCATTTTCTGTATGTAAGACAAGATATGAGTCAGACTTAACTGTATCTGTTGTATCATTTCTGTCAAGCACAACATAACAAATCACATCATCAACGAAAACACCGATACACGTTATATATTGAACACTACCTACTCAATTAAAAAAAGAAAATCCAGAGTGCATGTATTATTGTGTAATACTGAAAAAAATATGTAATGTATATGGGGAATCACCAATATGGAGAACTTTGTTATATCCAATACCCAAAGTTAAATACTAAAAAAAATAGACTTACATAAGGAAAAAATAAAAAAATATTACACAAATAACACATGACTGAAATAGATCCCTGCTTGTCTTTTTGTCTTTCCTATGTATGTGCGGTTCCTTCCTAAGAGATGGGGAAGCTCCGTCTGCCGGTACCAAACAAAAATCAATAAAATAAAATTTACACAGGACTGACCTATAGAAGACATGTACCATTTTGAGGATCTCGTAGACGAAGCTATCAAATATCGATAAATAAATACGTCTGTTGCTTTCAATTAAAATGAAGCAAAGCTGTTGTGTCTTTCCTTTTTTTTTTCTTTTTTTTTTTTATTGACACCGCATCGGAGGTCTCGTGGTAGCGTGCTCGCCTCGAGTGCGGGGGGTCGTCGGTTCGAACTCTGGCCGGATCAATCCAAAGCCTATAACATTGGCAGTTGCTGATTTTCTGCTAAGCACGCGGCAGTAAGGAGTCATATAAGAGCAAACACTGAGTCAGAGTAATGTGTCCGGGTAGGGTGACATGTCTTTCTTGTGAACTAGCATGTTTAAAATCCGGCTTATTGTGTCTGTCTAATACAAAACAGGGTATTTTCGCTGAACTAGTATACATAACAATTTAGGGGCCAGCCTCCGGGTGCGGGATTTTCTGGCTGTGTTGAAGACCCATTGGTGACCTTGTGCTGTTCTCTCTTTGACACATTCCCCATTTCCATTCTGAATTTTATTAATATTGCATTACCATCTCGTCCAAAATATGCGGTTAGTTTGCCATTGGACGTTAATCAGCCATCCATCCACGCATCTACAAAATGACAAGTGTATCGATATCGTCTCACAAATGTATCTTTGAATATGAAACTCAATGGAGCTTTCATGAGAACCATTTGTAGAAATATGGATTTAGATTAAAGCCATGATCTGAATTCTAATATATGCATGATTGCATAAGATAATATTGAATGTATTATATATGATGTAGAGGTATATGTGAGCTCAATACATACTAAAAAAGAAATGCGGTTAACTATAATGTATCTCAACCATATTAAGGAATAACATTTTTTCAACAAGTCAAACTACAATACATACTCGATAAACTGTTGAATTAACGCAGTCAATTCATCCATAGTTATGTTTGGCTGTTTGAACTTTGACCTCATATCTTCATTGCACTTACTAATTGCTTCTTGTGAAGCCATGCTGGACACATTAACTACCCTGTAAAATTTGCATATGTTTAAAAAAAAAGGAGGGGTTATTTTTGCATGATCAATAAGATTCAAGTTTAAGAAAATCAAATATTGAAAACAGCTGCTGATTTTTGTAAAGTTTTCATCAATCTGGAAATGCCTGTACCAAGTCAGGAATATGACAGTTGTTTTCCATCCGTTAGATATGCTTCAGCTTTTGATTTTGCTATTTTATAAAGGACTTTCGGTTTTGAATTTCCATTGGAATTCGGTATTTTTGCTACTTTACTTTTTATGACAAATCATTTATGCCTTAAATACGTATGATACTGATCACATACGACACATGTTATGATAGAAGAATTTTCTGATTTACCCTTCTTGTCTCTTATTTTGTAAACAGAGCAAAATTCATAAAATATAATGCAACATCTAAACCACAATGGCCTATACTAATTATAAAGGTTTTAAAACGATTTTAATGTCAGTCATTATAACTGCATGTAAATATAGACAAATAGAGGATTTAAAACGCCTGTAATATGATGAACTTGAAATGAAGCCTACAAGATGTGCGTTTTTTTTTTGCCGTAGATTTCATAGAGGCAGAGGAGGCAGCTTCCCCTCCAACTTTCTTATAAAACAAAATTATGTTTTTTAATATATTCTTAAAGTCACAAGAAATATGGTGTGGAAAATCTGTACCAGACAGTGCCGTTACCAGTGGTTCGACCAAAGTTACAATGTGTATACGATCAACATCAGTACCGAAAGCAGGACCTGTTTACAAGTAGGGGCGCATGCAGCGAAAAATAGCAAAAATAAGAGACTATGACACAGCAAGGTTTTGTTTTAAGAATCTTTCCGATGAAGAACGTCGGAACATTATATATTAGTGCCTAATCGTCTATGTATTTATAATATTAAAAAAAATCAGTGGTGCTGATATATCAGATCTTTGGATGATACATTTCCTTGGCAAAGTTATTCAGTGTCTGAAGTTGGAGCTAAAAACCCAATGTAAGACAAACGAGAGCGATAAAAAAATTCACGATAAAAGTGAAAATGTTCAGCCGATTTTAACGCATCCGTACATATAACAGTGAATACTATGTCATTTTTTTCAAGCATATACTTTTCAAAATTACGCACTTTATTTCTCATATTTCAATTACATTTTAATAATTTTGTAAGAACCTACCTATTGTATTAATTGTTAAACGTTTTTCAACCCTAATATTATGATATAATTGACATTGGGCCTTAAGCAAGCAACAATCAATCAATCAATCAATCAATAGTTTTGTAAATCTGATGTATATAAAATTGTAGTTGCTTACATCCACGCCATTTGGTCTCTGAAGTATAAGCTGTCTTATCGGCATTCTTTATATAAATAAGAAGATGTGATATGATTGCCAATGAGACAACTCTCCACCAGAGAACAAATGACATAGAAGTTAACAAGTATAATAGGTCACCGTACGGCCGTCAACAGTAAGTAAAATCCATTCCGCATAGTGAGCTGTAATAGGCCCCGAAAGGACAAACGTAAAACAATTCAAACGAAAAAAACTAGCGACCTGATTTATGTATAAAACAATAAACCGAAAAACATATGATATACAGCAACAAACGACAACCAGTGAATTACATGCTCCCGACTTCGGATAGTCTCAGACAGAATGTGACGGGGTTAAACATTTCTGATGGCGCCAAAATCTCCCCCAAGTCAGCGGTGTAACGGCACAACATAATAACAAAATGATAAAATTCAGTGGAAAAGGATTTATTTGAATAACTCGTCAGATTTATATAAAACATACAGAAAAAAAGATCTGCAAGTACTCGCAGTTACTGAAATAATTACAAATTAAAAAATTAAAAAACTTTGTATCTTAGCCTAAAATATTAATCAGTACACATCAGACATTCAACGGTCGTGAAAAAAAGAAGACCTTGTGCAATGATATTTTTAAAAAAATCAGATATTCTAACTTTGTTATGGACTTGATTTCAGATTTGGAAGCGAAATATATATGCAGCTGCGTGTGTTATGCTTTAACACATATGATATCAAACTACGTTATCAACACGTTCAAAGTTCCAAACCAAAAGAGTTGATTGGAGTATAGAAATATTGTCATTCCCTTAATTTTTCCTTTACTGCATTAAAACCCTTCCTAAAGTTAGGCGTACATTTGGCTTTGTGGAATGTACACACTTGTGGCCGCATCTTGTACAAATGATGACGTTAAATTTGATGTCTAGTGTACAAAGAGCGGGGGTCACACTCTCTGCACATTAAAAACCTTTGAAATAACTTTTTTAAAGGTCCTAAGGCTGCATTTTTTTATCAAAATGTCTGCTCTTTTCGAACAGACCCTCATCTCAATTTCCTGACCTTCACCCCGGTCGTCCTACGTTTTCAATAATGTTTGTCTTTTCGTCTTATTTCTTTGTAATGTTATTTTCTGTCCTCCTTTTGATATTGTGTTTTGTTTTCCCCTTGATTTCTTCCTGATTTCGTTGACATGACAGATGCAGATCCAGGATTTTGAAAATGGGGAAGGGCGCAGGCCCCCAAACTAGACAAAGTTTGATGTTGGGTAGGTAAATAGTCTGGATTAACTATAAATGAGCTCCATGAGGGGGGCAGGCAATCCCCCAACATAAATCCTCCTCTACATGACACTGCTGTATGAATCATAAAGGCTTTCTTGACTGTATAATTACCTAGCATGTGGCTTTAGAAGAGGAAACAAAGTATTACAAACATTCAAGGTACCAAAGTAATTTGTGCGACATGTCGTTGTAGCTCGCTCGCCAATAGTTCCTACCTGAAAAAATACGTCCAGAAGATATATTTCCCCACTAGAATTTGTATGATTTAAGGTGGTACCTAACACTACAGGGAGATAACTCTGTAAAAATCAGCTAAACGTTTTAATTACGTTGTATTGTTAAGGAAATATTAAGCTTCTCAATGATCAAAATAAGTGTTTGTCAAACTGCTATATAACCAAAGAAATTTTTCTGATAAAGTGGTTGGTTCAAATTTTTTGAAATTTTTATATTTTTGTCAAAGGGTCAAAGTAAACATTTTGTCAAAATTTTATGAAAATTAAACGAGCCAAATTAATATTAGTCAAGGTGTTGGGTACCACCTTAAAAGTAAATAAAGTAAAAGTAATTTTTGTAGTTATAAAGTAAATTAGATATATTGTCCCAGACGGTTAGTAATGCGTTGCTCTGTCATCCTCCATTAGATATTTTGTAGGTGTAAAATGATCTATGAAATTAACTTCCTTATATTTTAGTCTCAATTACAATTTTTGTTATATATATATATATATATATATATATATATATATATATATATATATATATATATATATATATGTGTGTGTGTACAAGAGCAACTCTAGCGAACTAACCTTTAAAAGAATATATTATTAAAGTTATTTGACATTTCTTGGAACCTATAAGGACCATGTTAAATATCATATTCAAACTGCTGTGTTCGTTTATTTCAGAATCAATAGGTCTTTATCATTCTTCCATTGCCATTGGAATTGGAATTTTAATCAAGAGTAGGGCAAACATTATAGCAGAAAAGAAATATGTTTTCAATGAATCGAACCGGATTTAGTGTCCAGAGGCTTCATATAACGGCAAATGTATTTGCAAAAATAATTATACTTCGGTGGCAAACATGATTCAAATCATAAGTGTTTCTCGTTTCTCGTTTTTTATATAGATTAGACCGTTGGTTTTCCCGTTTGAATGGTTTTACAATAGTAATTTTTTGGAGCCCTTTATAGCTTACTGTTCGGTGTGAGCCAAGGCTCCGTGTTGAAGACCGTACTTTGACCTATAATGGTTTACTTTTATAAATTTTGACTTGGATGGAGAGTTGTCTCATTGGCACTCATACCACATCTTCTTATATCTATGAAAGAAAATACGATACTTGATTAAATTCCTCTTCTGTTTTGATGAGTTTTCTCTCATTCTGCGTTGGCTGGTGCTTTTCTATGAACAGTTTGTACAGTTTGAGATGTTTACCATTGGTCCAACAGGTAGTATGTTATATGCCTGAACAATGGCATTTACACAATGTTATGTAATATCTCATGTTTTGTATCGGAAGAACTGGACATTTACTTTCTATAATTTCGGTTTGACAACGCGTTTTGTCAATAACATATAACGAATAACGACTAAATTTTGAAAATAGATACCTTGTTCGAAATACCAGCATTGTTTATCAATATATCAATCCCTCCATAGTTTTCCTTGATAAAATCCTTCAGTTTGATTATTGAACTCAAGTCATCAATATCGAGAGTATAGTATTTAGGTGAAAGTCCTTCCTTCTGTAGTTGAGTTACTGCAACTTGACATCTCTCCTCAGATCGACCTGTAAATTGTAGAGACTGTTACAAGTATCCTTTTTTTTTTCTTTTTCTTTTTTTTTTTTTTGTGAGTAATATCTTTTATTTTAAATCACCTGGATAACATGAACCCTAAGCAGTCCAGGGCAGCTGACAGAGGGATCCCTGCTTTCATTTAACATATCCCATTTACCAGGGAAAATACAAATGGGTGAAGAAATATATATATACAAAAAAAACAGCATCTGTTTATAATTAGTTAATGTATTCTTCCCATGATTCTTTACACTTTGAAATCTTGCAATTACATATAATTTTATCCTTTTAAGGTACAATTATAAAAATATATTTAACTGTTATTTATATTGTATTCTAATAATTAATCCACTGTATCAGATTTACTGCTTCTATTCTTCTGACGAATATTTGTTATAAATATTCAGCGTACAATACCTCTTCAGCAGACAGGTGTCTTGGAATACACCGAGGTCTGATAATTTATCATCATGATTCTATAAAAGTTGTGAATGAATTGAGTAGAAATTATCGAAGGTCAGCAATCAACAGCAAGTTCTCCAAACACAAAATTGAGAAGAAAAAGACAACCCAAAAACAAAGGAAAATCAGATATGATATTAGACAACTACTGAGGATGTTCCTGACTATGAAAGTTACAAAGAACAAACAATTAAAATCAGTACAGAAAATTCACAAAAATATTAGATAACGGTTTATTAGTTAAAAATACAAAAGTACGAAAATTTATTTCCCACCCACTTTCAAATACCGGTTTCTGTACTTCTATGAAGATTCAATAGAAAAACGATATTCTACCCGAATGATTTTTCATAGAATCAAAAGTTACTTTATCAAGTAATGACGAAAAATCACTCAATTATAATGCCGCAGCAAATACACGTTAGTGGCCGTGGCATTTAGATTTCAACTTTCCAACATGTCTATTAATCCCAATGAGTTCAGTTGACCCTACTAGTTTGTATTTGCGCTTTATTTGTTGAGTGTAGACTTTGGTGGATAGTTGTCTCATTGGCAATCATACCACATCTCCTCATATTAATATTAATGTATTTTGATGAGTGTGCATACCATTCAACTTTCTTTCTGTGAGTGTGGAATAATTATTGAAAAGAGTCCTTGTTTTTAATGTTTTATAGTTTTTTGTTAATTTATAACACTATCGTATACTTATACTATTAAACGGGGCACCACGTTTTATTTTTTTCAGCTCTGTTGATGTTGTTGGCAAAATTAAAAAAAAACAAAGGTATATTGAACGAAATCACCGAAATTACCTTTATATGATATCATATAATTTTCGATACTAATTTTTCTTCAAACATATATTGTGAGAGTGTGACCAAATCGATGACATTGTTGAAAATATGTGATGTATGGTGACAAAATTGAATAATAACAATCGACCATTTTAGATGTCATAAATTTCAGCTAACCTCTTTTCGTGTCGACATGGAAACATTCACTTTTATTCTATATTGCTGTATTGAATATAAAGGTTGAATTTTTGAAAGGAAGAAGAGCTTTATTTGTCTGTTGGTCTTTCTCTTTTTTCTAGCTATGGCGTTGTCAGTTTATTTTTCGACTTATGAGTTTATCTTATGACTTTATCTTTCGCCTCTCTTTTGTTATTTATATCATCGTTCTATTATATAAGTACCTGTTAAGATGACGTCCCCGTCAAACTGTTTGCACAAGGATTCGACAATGGCAAAACCTATTCCTTTATTTGCACCTGTCACCTGTAAATTCAAAGCAACATTTATTGAATTCCCTCGTGAATTGTTCAAGATAGTATATACAATGTATTATCAGCTCAGGAGTTAATGTTTCGGAACTGACACGAATTTTAACATACCATTCTAAAATTCTCCATTAATAAATTTAGATTTTAATCAAGAAACTCAGGTTCCCACTGCCTCAGACTAAGTTAACCTTTGCAGTATTTTGGCTAATCGTTTTTCTTTTTTTTTATCGCCTTTTGTTCATAAAACTCCTCAAGCATCTATAAATCCTTGACCTTCTAACGTTTGGGTTTGGCTTCGGACGCACCAAGTACATAAAACGTTATTTTCATTTATTCGTGTTTCCTTGGAGATCATTTTGGTCCGGGAAGATCAAAAAACTATTTCATAAATTTAGGTAAACTTTAGCATGCAAATTTTGCACTGGTATCCTTTGTCTTCGTCCAGTAACCCCATTTTAGAAATTAAGGTTTCAACTCCCTTAGGCAAAGTTGACCTTAGATGGATTTGGCTATTTTCTGGGGTCCTTTCGATCATATAGCTCCTCAACTGTCTCATTTCTTATACATCCCAGGCTTTCAAATATCTGGCTTTGATCGTTCCTGATGAATTAAGGTAAATCAATTCAAGCGCTTCGGACGCATGAAATTTATAGCGTGCTGTTTCCATTTTTTTACTAATGATATGTACAATAATTAAATTAGAGTACTGACTTCGTTTTTGAGTTATACATAATTGAAAGGGATATTCTTGGTTAAAAAATGGTTTCTACCACAAAACTTCGAAATAAGCGAAGTTTGTCGTCATGTTGCCGGGGTTTTGTTTTTGACGTTTTTCATTTTCATTGGTAAATTATTTAAAAAAAGTCGATGACCCTATGATTAATTATATGAATGAAATGGATATCAATTTTAATGGAAATCCTTAGAATTTTAATTAAGATTGAAGATTTCCTAGAGAACATTTTCACCCATTTTACAATGTACATCTGTTTACAAAAGAATTCATGCAATGATATTTAAGAAGTGAAAAAAATAGGAAATCAATATATATTTTTCCTAATGTTATTTCAAGTTTAACATATCGTAGTTGTGTGTAAAATTTATAAAAATATGTGCCTTTAGTAAAGTTCGTACACTCGAAATCTAGAACCCAATTTAAAGCCACTTTCAGACCACGAATGTAATTGATACCATATAACTTATACACGGTACATATAGTTTTTACAATTAGATATCTGAAACTATCTGAAATTTATTTCCTTATGTTGAAAAGTTTATTTGAAATAGTATTTGTGCACAACAAAACGTGTTTATAATATGTGCGTAACACATATAATCGATATCAACTCTAATGTAAAAAAAAAATCCGATAATTATTGGATTTCTCCTTATTTTTAGATTTTAAATAGAAACTAAATTAATTAGGATTTCACTCAGAATTAATGTTTAATTTTAAGCATATTATTTTTATGAAAGTAGGAACAACTGATAACTATCAATAATATGTAAACATAACTGTATGCACACGTAAAAGTAAGAAAAGTAGATATATGATATATGTAAACACAAACGTCCTATTCAAAGAGAAAGTACACATTTAACATATAATTACTTACAATTGCAACGCGTGTAGTCATCGTCCTGCTTTCTTTCTTTTTGATTTGAAAGGCGTGTTGAAAATAAAAATTTAAAAGATATTGAATGTATTATTAAGACGTCGTACAATTTTTCCTTTACGTTAGCTACATTAACTAGCTACTGTAACATTATTTTCATTCACTTTGAACCGGAAGTGATAATGATTGTTTTAATCAATGAAAAATACTCCTATTATAGTAATGTTAACAGTTCTTCTTAATTGAGTGCAGTGTAAAGTCTTAGCAACTTGTAAACACAATTTAAGATATAAAACTGATATCTGACAGGCTTGTGTCTCTTGAACATCTGAAACATTTTATTTCATAGGTTTATATTTTTTCAGTAACTTTTTTCTATTATCGAATTAGAAAAAAAAAACTACAAAAAATAGTCTTATTAACCAATTTCTCTTCACAATATCCTCCTTCTCCATACGTAAGTAATACGTAAAGGGCGTCTGTACAATTAAAACACCAGATATTCAGATACACAGAACGACAATAACAGAAGAGATTCCTGACTTTAAACTTGTTAATTTTAAAAATATGTGACGGGATTTACCAATAAGTTGTTTTATTTATTAATTGTTCGCAACATGAATCGCTATAAGTCTAGATCGATGGATTAACCAATGTTTATTGAAAACACACAACCTTATTTCAGTACAAATCGTGTATCTCTATACAGTGCATTACAGATTTGAAAAACACATACAGGTTCAAATAAAACAAAACTAAATAATACCATACGAAAGAAATCTTCGACTAATTGAAATAAAGCTTAAAGTAAGTAATCTGCCGAAATAGACCTCAGATAGTCCTACGCTGTTTTATCAGCCACTTTAAACACCAGGTTTAATACATACGGGACTAACCTGTATCATCATAAGCAGTCTTCCAACGATAAACACTTTTGGAACTATCATGACAATGTCTCACTATATCAACTTAACGACAAACATTTATCTATTCAAAGAGCCTATATGCTAACTGTTGTTCATCTGACATAATGTTCGGTTTTGTTCATATAAATTATTTTGGAATCGTATGGGGTATGACACATGCAAATAAGAATATTATAAAATAAGGTGATTTGGAAAGATTTTAAATGAGTTACGTATCAACCAGAGACCAAACGACAATGTTAGCAACTATAGATCACTGCATACCTTACGGGCTTCATCAACGAGCAAATTCCACACCGTATAGCAAACTGAAAAATGATAAAATGTAAAACTAAAACAATTCAAACTTGAAAACTAACGGCCTAATGTAAAAACAGAACAGCTAAGGAAAACAAATATGATATAAATACATGTACAGTGGCAAACGAAACAATTGAATTCTAGTCTTGGGACAGGCAAATACAACATGCTTGGTGTCTATCTCGTCTACGCATCCAATTCAGACTTCTTACTAAATAACGTGTCTTCTAAGTCTGCTTGTGTCTGAACTGGTTACGTGTCCTTTCAGTCTGTGTGTGTCTGAACTGGTCACGTGTCTTCTAAGTCTGTTTGTGTCTGAACTGGTTACGTGTCCTTTCAGTCTGTGTGTGTCTGAACTGGTCACGTGTCTTCTAAGTCTGTTTGTGTCTGAACTGGTTACGTGTCCTTTCAGTCTGTGTGTGTCTGAACTGGTCACGTGTCTTTTAAATATGTTTGTGTCTGAACTGGTTACGTGTCCTTTAAGTCTGTTTGTGTCTGAACTGGTTAGGCGTACCTTTAGTCTGTTTGAGTCTGAACTGGTTATAACATCTTATAGTCTGTTGGAGTCTGAACTGGTTACGTGTCCTTTTAATTTATTCTGTTTGTGTCTGATCTGGTTACGTGGCCTTTTAGTCTGGTTGCGTCTGAACTGGTCACGTGTCTTTTAAAGTTGTCTGAACTGGTTACGTGTCCTTTTAGTCTGTTTGTGTCTGAACTGGTTACATGTCCTTTTAGTCTGTTTATGTATGTACTGGTTAGGTGTCCTATAAGTTGCTGTGTCTTAACTGGTTACGTGTCCTTTTAGTCTGTTGATGTCTGAACTGTTTACGTGTCCTTCTAGTCTGCTTGTGTTTGAATTGTATTCCTCTCTATTCAGTCTGTTTTTGTCTAGACTGCTTACAACTCCTTTAAGTCTGTTTACTTTTGAGGGCTGCCTACCTGTCCTTTTAGTCTGTTTGTCTCACGGCTGCGTACATTTCCTGAAGTCAGTTTGTGTCTGGGCTGCTAACGTGTTCTTAATGTGTGTTTGTATATATATAAAAAGAAGAAGATGTGGTATGATTGCCAATGAGACAACTCTCTACAAGAGACCAATTGACACAGAAATTAACAATATATAGGTCGCCGTATGGCCTTCAACAATGAGCAAACCCCATACCGCACAGTCAGCTATAAAAGGCTCCGAAATGACAATGTAAAACAATTCAAACGAGAAAAACTAACGGCATAATTTATGTACAAAAAATTAACGAAAAACAAATATGTAACACATAAACAAACGACAACCACTGAATTACAGGCTCCTGACTTGGGACAGGCACATACATAAAACATTAAACGAAAAACATGTATAGCAGAAACAAATAAGGAAATCTAATGCATTTCAGCCTTCTGACTTAGGAAAGTAGTCAGCATAATTATTCGGGATTAAACATGTCTGCGAGCGCTAAACTCTGCTCTACCCGGGGGCAGTGCGGTAACAACACTACATAGGATATAAACTATAACAAAAGTTCACACGCTGAATTGTCTCACATGCGTTACTATTCGTGATTATTTGCTGTTGATAGTCCTGAATATATAGTTTTACTACAAGTATCACATATAAACTTAACAATACCAATGATTATAAGAAATGCGTTCAATGTAAGATAAACCAAGCCAGATAGACATGTTCACCATGCAATCATTACAAAGTATAGAGGACTTATAGCTTTAAGTATACAAAAAAATAAAACAGACCAAACCATTAAAACTAAATATTGACCAATGAACTATGAAAATAAGGTCAAGGTCAATAACCGTCTCCAGCTACATGTATGCCTTATACATCACCTGCAAGATAGACTCCACAACCAAAACCAATGTAACGATTTCGTATAGAACTAATCGGCAAAATTTTGATTACACTATATGTTTGTGTCTTTGAAGAGATGTAAAACTGAGAAAATATCAGTTTCTGCAAATGACACTATAACAGAGTATTGAAATTGTTTATTTTCTTTGTTTGTTTAAAATTTTGAAAAAATATTGAATTTCTTCCAAATTTTTATTTGTTGCAATAACATTTTAAACTGATTGTATGTGAACATATTAGTTTGAATTTCTCAGTCATTTGTGTTAAATGTCTGTGATGTATGTTTTAAATTACACAGTTTTTTGCAGCTGGATCTCAATAATCTAGTCTCACGTTAACCAATTTTATGTCTGCTTGGATTGCTGACCTAATTTTGTCTATATAACGGAAATATAAACAATTGCCATACAAGTGGGAGGTTAGGCTAGCTATAAAACCAGGTTTAACCCACAATTTTCTTCGGACAATGCCTATACCAAGTCATGAATATGACAGTTGTTTTACATTCGTTCCGTTTGTTAATATGGTGGATTTTTCAGGTTTTCTGGACTTGCAATTTTTAATTTAACCGTGGAATTAGGTATTTTTGTTAATATTTTTAAGCATTGTATGGGTAAATAAGCCATTGTTTTTTTATAGTTTATCACGCGGTATGGATTTTGCTCATGTATAAAGTCCACGTGGTGACTACTTGTAGTTGTTTTCATCCTTCTTGCATGCATTTTTTGTGGATATTTGTCTTATTGGAAATCACACTACATCTCCTTATTTTATTTACGGTCTAAAAACTAGTTTCCCTTGGAGATCAACATATGTTGGATAAATAAAAGAAATTTAATGCCATTTAATGATTTGTAAAATAATTTATGAATGAATTTTAATAAAAATATATAATGGGTTACATTGTAATGAAAGCAAGTCATTAGATACTTGAAATATATTAATGTTTTATGCAATATTGACATTTCATAAGTTAACATTACTTATTTATAAAAAGACCTTCAATTGGATGCTCTAACTGAATTGGTTAATATGACACAGTCTTAAGAAAACAATTAACGTGATGGCCCTTTGAACAAATATGCATGCTTACGGTGACCTATAGTTGTTTACTTCTATGTCATCTGTCTCTTATGTGGAGAGTTGTCTCATTAGCAATCATACCATATCTTCTTATTTTCATATTAATCTATCTTCAAAGACTAAACGAAACGTAGGTCTTACCTTTCACGTGTGTCCACAGACAAAGTAAAAAAGCCATGACACAAATCAATACATGAACTGCAAAACAACACACAAAAAGCAAAGGAAAACCGCGTTTAGTGTTGTTCTTCATCTCGAAGTCACTGTGAGGCCTTCAACACGTAGCAATAAGCTCTCACCTCACTGCAAGTTTAAAACGACCCTATGGAATCCGTTTGAGCGGAGATCTTTGCAAAATAAGTCGGGTAGACTTTGTAAGATGTAACACCACCAAATCAGGCCCGGTCAAAAAGAACATACTAGGAAGGAGTACATATTCAAAACAAAACAGTTCCTACTAAAGGTGAAAATATCAAACTATTTAAAATATCTTTTGCCAATTTAATGAAAGGTGGGTGAAGGACATGTGATCCTTGTAGAACACATTTTGACTGATAATTTTGAATAATACAAAAATGTATGAATAAATCTAAAAAGGAGGGTATATATTGACTGTTTATTCTTATTGGTATAGATATTGTTATAAACATGTGTACATTCACGGTCTTACAATTAGTCGATACCTATATTTTTGTATTGCACAAGGTCATGTTTATTTTTGTATTTACACTAAATCAATTGGATGTTGGATTTCAACTGATTGATATTTTAGTCTTAGATTCACGATTTTTTTTTTGTTAGTTAATTGTTATTGGTTTTGAACTAGCCCTTAATAAATGCGAGTACTCTATGATCTGTCCTCTTCTCTGTGTCTTTTGTGATTTTTATGTGCTTTGTATCGATCTGATGAGGTAAACTCTTCTGTGTGTGCCTGTCCCAAACCAAGAGCCTATAATTCGGTGGTTGTCGTTTGTTGCTGTATATCATGTTTGTTATTCTTTCACTGGCCATTAGTTTTCTTGTTTGCATTGTTATACATTTATCATTTCGGGGCCTTTTATAACTTAATGTACGGTGTTGGTTTTGGTCATTGTTGAAGGCCGAACTGTGACAGATAGTTGTTAACTTCTAAATCATTTCGTCTCTGGTGGTGAGTCCACTTTTCTCATTGGCAGTAATACCACATTTTATTTATAGTGTTAGTATCGTAAACACACGACAGTTACCTCATCAAATATCCCATGGTAAGCGTACACTTAGACTTTTGACATCAAATTGTAGTAATTCCTTCTACCGGAATTCGTACACCAGTGAAAGGGTACACATTTCTTGAAAAACTGTGTTTACAAAATCCTAGTTTTCTTTAACTAAATGATGCTTTTGTATTATTTTTTACGTCATTTTCAATCGTCATTTTGTTAAATTAATGTTATATGTGTATCCTTTTTGCTTATAATAAATGTTTTATATATACAGTAACAACATGTCATTTGTGGTCGCTATACACCATATTACATAAAATGGTTTTAAAGATATCTTATACTATATACAGTCTCGTGTGACTTTTCGACAGTACATCCGGTTGAATTTTTTATATTTTGTTGTTTCCACTTTCTTGTCGATATCTGAAATTGTTGAGTCGCATCCATAGAAGTAACCATCTTACGGTAATCCCACTTTCTTGTCGATATCGATATCTGAAATTCGTGAGTCGCATCCATAGAAGTAACCATCTGAGGATAATCCCACTTTCTTGAGATACACAATATATCCTACAAACTGAAAATATACTTAATCCTGTAAAATTTGCTTTAAGTTTTGACATATCATTTATATACAATTGTGTTTTTTTTCTCTCTCACTTTTGTGATTTAATCAGTCTATAAATTCAGGGTATACTATTGAAATTAGAAATAAATCGTTTCATTTTCCCTGAATATAGTTCTTAAGACAGAAGTTTCTATTTGGGTCGTTCATCCAGTTTTATCAATATAATAGAACTATAAACAACTGTCATACACGTCGGAGGCTTAGATATCTATAAAACAAGGTTTAACTCGCCATTTCCTTCAGAAAATGTCTACACCAAGTCAGGAATATGACATTGGTTTTCATTCGTTCCTTTGGTTAATACTATTCCTATTCCTACACTTATGAAGATGATGATAATCATCTTTAACCTGATAAGTTATACATTGTATGGTTATTCTAAGAACACATATGAAGTGTGTACACTAATATGTAAGATATGTACTATTTGTTATTAGGGTCTAGGGAAAATGGTTTATTTTTTTAGTTGAAACTGGGCTTGAGTAGTACTCCTGTGCTAACATCAAATATCACTGATACTGTAATTTTCCGTCCATTCATGAATTAATGATTTATTAATTGCTAATTAAATTCACAAAAGTTTTGCCATATGATTAATGATTTTTAATTGACATGCAAACTCGGTCTTCAGAAATACTGTGAAATTATATACCTGGTGTAAATCGGATTGAAATATTAAACAATACCGAGGTCTATTAGAAAACAAACACTCAATCTCGTCGTGCAATAGTATAGAAATATCTAAGCTTTACAGAAACATTCCCCTTTCTGGACAGAAATACAGAAACCTAATAGAAACAAATATCTACTTTTAGAAATATACAAATCGTTAACGAAAATAACTTTTTTTAAATATTATGCGCCTGACGCTTTTTTTTTTTTTTTTTGTGTTGTTGTTGTTGTTTTTACCTTCATTAGAAACGCCCCAAAACATTTGAAAGCCAGGGATATTTGAATACTAGTACGTAGCCGGAGATATTTGAATACTAGTACGTAGCCGGGGATATTTGAATACTAGTACGTAGCCGGGGATATTTGAATACTATTACGTAGCCGGGGGTATTTGAATACTAGTACGTAGCCGGGTATATTTGAATACTAGTACGTAGCCGGAGATATTTGAATACTAGTACGTAGCCGGGGACATTTGAATACTATTACGTAGCCGGGGATATTTGAATACTAGTACGTAGCCGGGGATATGTGAATACTAGTACGTAGATACTTTAGGAGGTATATAACCAAAAGGGAACTTAAATGTAAAGGCAAATTCATCTAAGGTCAAATTAGCAAATATTAAGCCCCCCTCCCCCCCCCCCGGGAAAAAAGTAAAAGAATTTAAATGAGAATACTAACGGCCTGATTTATGCTATAATAAAAGATGAATGTGTCTGAGGACACGAATGCCCCCGCTGAAGCTTCAATTAAACGAAAATGGGACGGACGGACGGACGGACGTAAAGACGGAAATACAGAAGGACAGACGGCCGGACGGAAGGACGGAAAGACGGACGGTCAATGGTAACACTTTAGTGCGTTGGTGGTAACACTGAAGTGCTATGGATTACATAAACTATGTGTTCTATATTTTGCATGTTCAAATGTCGATGTAGGATTCAATGTGTTTGTTAGTAGCAGAATGTCAGGCTGTTAAGTAAATCGTCGATGGTATGAAGCAAATTAAATAGGACGATCTCTTTTACGAACTGTAACGAAGGACATTCAATATATTCTTGTATTTTAAATGTCGAAAACACCGTTTAAAAAATGTACATCAAAGGTAGAAATGGAACTATATTATTAGCAAGGTACTTTTAGATGATATTTTAACAGTATTTCATTATCCCAAATTCTTATATGTATGATAAACAGGCTTATTGCATGATGAGAATTCATTTTACGATTGTACTATTCCAACGAATACATATGATCAATACTTAAATGTCTTAAATGCCATAAACTTTTGATGGACAATAATGAATGCAAATGTATGCACTTACTAATGCAAAACAATATTTCTAATAATAAATGCAAATGTTGATTTTAAACCAGCAATCACGCGTGATATGAATCATCTCACATCAGCAAAAGGTTAATCACACTTCGTCGAAGACCATCGCACTTCAGTGTGACCATCGCACATAAGTGCAAACATATATCCTAGTTCCGATATTTCATGGCTTCAGTTTCATATATTGATTTCCAAGATAAAAGGTTGCGGTTTACAATAAAACCTCTAGAAGCAAAGATTCCAAGTGGTAAAACTGAATTAATCGATTTGAAGGTTTTATCGGCACCCCTATGAGTTGGTTGACCGTTATGAAATTTTATTGTCACAAAGGATCACGCATATGTTCAAATTGTAATAGTCACAATGCCATCTTATTTTGCTCGATTTAAACATCACAAAATGTAACTTTTAATAGATTTTCCATCGCCGAGTAGTAACTCGACGGATGTCATTAATGAAACAAGAACGTCTCACCCTTAAATAGCAAACTAAATACACCAATAGTTGTGATTGAAAGGGTTCTGTATTTAGTGCTTTTTCATGTTGCATTGTCAGTGTTGTTTTCAGTGGAAACAGTCTTGTCTATCCTTTGTCTCAAATTATTCTATTTTCACAAATTTGGAGGTTTAAAAATATACATGCCCAATGATTTAGGAATTTGGAGATGTCTTAAAGTTGAAAAAAAGAAAGAAACATTTATCCATTATGTTGGATGTTCAATGACGAAGACTTATCAACAGTTGGGAGGCTTAATCTTATACCAAGTTGAAGATCATAAAAAAACGAATATTCCAAAACGTTTTGCCAAATACGGCTTATAAATTTATGCCTAGGGTAGAACAGCCTGATAAATATAACATTTTATAAACAGAAAAGTTATAGAAAACGAACGAATCAATAATAGTTAGGGTCGGCACAAAATAGCTTACTACCAGACTGATGCTACCTTAAGGTACAAAACATCCAACCGACGAAGCATCAACCAAGTGGTTGTGAATAACCCATCTAATATATCAAGCTTCAAAAGACTCATCAGTGGCGCTCGAATGAAAACGGGTTGAAGACCACTTCAAAAACGATGTTGAAAAGAATTTAAAATCAAAACCGAATAATTCGAGAATCACACTGTTTGAACTCTTGAACTGTTTGATATTTTGTTATCCCTGAACCTTTATAATAGCTTAATACATGGTTAGGGTTTTGATCATTGTTGAAGGTAAATTTAGAGTGAGCTCATTGGCCTTCATATAACATGATTGTCCTCGTGTTCACACATATAATCTCATCGACATCACTATACATTCTAATATTACCTTCATTAATCCTAATATTCCACTGGAAATGCAATAAAAATATCCATCGATCTGTCTTATGTCACGTGGTGATAAATACAATCTAAGAACTGAACAACTTATAATGCACAACACTCCTATCAAATAAAAATAAAAGGAAATTAAGATAATGTATCTTAAACATTGACTGCATAACCTTCAGGATCTAAAATCTAAGAAGGAGATGTGAATTTTGCTGAATGGATTTATCTCATTATGTCGATACCACTGCAGGTGAACTGTTAGTCCTGGAAGGTATCATCATGCAGTTCAGTTGACAGTGCTTTGATCCTGCCATAATTTATAAGATTTTTTTCTGAAAAATTCCATGTTGATGAATGAAGAAAATATTAATAAACTATGGCTCCAACTTCCAGAAGCAAAATTGACCTTAGATGAAGTTAGCTATTCTTTTTCTTTCCTTTTTTTGTCATCCTACGTATTTATACATGACTGACTTTTAAATGTTTGTGTTTGAGCGTTACTGATGCAAGTTAATCCACAAAAGCAATTCGGACGCACGAAATTTGTAAAGTATTAATTTCATCTACAGTCCGAAAGTTGATAAAAACTAGTTAAATTTGATGTATGTTAGGATTTTTTATGGTAGAACTGTCATGACCAGTTCTAGAGTAAAACTGTCAAAATCAGTCCTATTGCAGATCTGTATAAACATGTCATAGGCTAGACATGATACTGTCAGAAACTGTTCTATATACTGTTCTAGAACGGTTCCCCTGACAGATTTTGATCTCAATAGAGTGTCATAGGGTAGACATGCTCCTGTCAGAAACTGTTCTATATACTGTTCTACATACTGTTCTAGAACGGTTCTCCTGACAGATTTTGATCTCAATAGAGTGTCATAGGGTAGACATGCTCCTGTCAGAAACTGTTCTATATACTGTTCTACATACTGTTCTAGAACGGTTCTCCTGACAGATTTTGATCTCAATAGAGTGTCATAGGGTAGACATGCTCCTGTCAGAAACTGTTCTATAAACTGTTCTACATACTGTTCTAGAACGGTTCTCCTGACAGATTTTGATCTTAATAGAGGTTAGAACTGATCCCAATAGAAGTTCTTTCCCGAAAGTTCGGATGTTACTTAGCATATAGAGCGTGTCGTATGTGGGAACCAATATCTTGGTGACCCAAAGGCAGCCTGTCCAAAAAAGCATCACATTGCTTAGGAGCAATGTAATAAACAAACCATTATGATATAGATTAGTGAGCACAACCTTGATAACTTGTGACTGAATAGAAAACTTACTTGAATCATTCTAAGCGAGATGATTTCGGGACATACATGTATTAAGAAACACAAAGAATTGTATTTTTCATTTACTTATAAACTGAGAGATGTTTGAAGTTTAAAGTTAGATATAGTTTTAACTCACCTACTACGAATCCTTCTAACAATATCCATACCCAACGGAAACAGTCACTAAAGCATAATCCTAGGAAAATTTTGCTGACTGTACACGTTGTACACCAAGAAAAAAATATGTGAAAACAACAAACGCTATGTGGAAGCAGAAAGATGACTATGATGAACTGGAAGAAGACACATATTGCTTGTGTATAGTAAAAGAATTCAAAAGCATATTCTCCTAAAATATAAAAATACATACATGGTCATAAAACAGGGACGAACGTTATTTGTTTAAAGAGTGTCCGAAAATGAAAGTTTATTCTCCTGTATGTTTAAAAACAATAATGATATATTTTGGATATTGTTTGCCTTAAGACTTAACAAACTATTTGCCTGATATATAAAATGTCTATTATGGGCATGTGTATCGTTTGCATTGAACACAAAGATCCCTGGGTTTGAATACATTGAATGAAATATGTTCTATAGGAGCCAACTGAGCTCTTCATTTTATCGACTTGTTCCTTTAATCATATGAGGAGGAAAGAAGCAAGCACTATCATTTAACATCACATTCTACTTCACTTGTAGATGATGTACTCTCACCTAATAATACAAAATTTGGTGACTATGTTGAACTCAGTTTCATCGAACTTGAAATAAAGGATATCTCAGAAAAAGTTAAGTCCGCGTCATATCTTGACATACATCTAGAAATTGACAATGATGGTTGACGGTTGAGAACAAAACTTTACGACACAAAATATAATTTCAGCTTTCTGATTACGACCCTTCCGTTTCTATGTACAACATTCCAGCAGGCTTGCACATGGAGTATACGTCTCAAATCTTTCAGTTGATACGATATTCCAGAGCTTGCGTTTTCTATCATGATTTCTAGGATAGAGTGGTGCTGTCTTCATGGAAGTTAATGAATTGAATACTCATTAGTGGTCAAGTTGAAATAATCACTTGAGAAGTTTACAGGCGACATCATGAGTTGGTTGTCCGTTATGTAATATCTGTGTCACAGCTGACCACGTACATGTTACACCTTTCGTAGTCATTGTCTAGTTCGTTTTTCCTCTATTGTGACATCACCGAACGAGACTTAGCAACGAATGAGTGCCTACTATGAGCAACACGACGGATGCTACTTGTGGAGCAGGATATTATAACCCGTCCGGGCAACTGATATAATCCATGGTATTAGTTTGTACACAATGGTCTTAAAGTAAAGATTCTGGGTACTGACGTTGTTTATCATCTTAATAACGTGTTATATAGTATTCTTGTATTTGTCTTTTTGAATATTACTTTTACTGTTTAGTTTATTTTTGGTGTTATTCATTTGACGTGGCTCGGTACTTATACATCCCGTCATTGTGTTATTGTGCTATGGTAAATTTTTGTATTCTCGTCTTTCATTTTTGCTTATGTGCTTTGTCTTTATGTCTTTTTGTGTTTATTTGTTACATATTTGTTTGTTTTCATAGTGATTAAGATTATAACACAATGTTGACTGTTGTACCCCTATTTTGACATTTTTACCTATTATGTCTGTTTGTTTTGTTCACACATCATTATCAATATAATGGAATTTAATGCGACTGTCATACAAGTGAGAGGTTTAGCTAGCTATAAAACCAGTTTTAATCCACCATTTCTACATAAGAAAATGCCTGTACCAAGTCAGGAATATGTCAGTTGTTATCCATATGGTCGTTTGATGTGTTTGAGCTTTTGATTTTGAAATTTGATAAGGGACTTTCCGTTTTGAATTTCCTCGGAGTTCAGTATTTTTTTTATTTTCCTTTTTTTTGTAGGTAGTGTTGTATAGACTGTTGTTCGTCTTTTCGTTTCTTTTTGTCATTAATTAGTCAGCCTCTCTTCGAATTATGAATTTGATTCTCCCCATGATGTTTCCCGCCTTTTTTTTACCAAATAACAGAAGAACAACAAAATATATCTCTAACATGAATATATGACTATTTCTTAATTTTTTTTTGTCAGGTGATATTTGTAGTAGAAAATCACCCTCGCGACCATCGTACTTAAGTTTGCGCTGCAGAAATTGAAATTAAATGTTTGGCAGGAAATGCTAACCTGAATTTAACACGTAAACTGTTTGAGAGAAAATAGTGCTATACTGTATACTATAAGTACAAGTAACAAAATTTTATTACATTTACATGCAAGTTTTATTTACTCCCGATGTATGGTGTTAAGATGTAAGTTTTATAACATAAAAATCAATATTTATTTGCTTTTTGTTTCGCTTATATACTTATTTGCTTATTTGCCTAACCGTTTTCGCATGTTTTAAGATTATGAGTATTATTGAGTATTGAAATAACTTATAAGGTCTTATAAATTAGCACCATAATCTTTGTAAATATATGCAGATAGCAGGAAATATAAACGTAACTCTACTCACCCATACTTCTCGTTGAATTTGGGAAACCATCTTCATTTTCTAACTTAAAAGTACAAGAATCGCTAGAGGGGAGTACTCTACAAAGATCTGATGTATCCGTTTTTTGGTTGAAAGGATCTAGCTTCAAAAATCCTATTAACTCCAAAGAAAAACCTCCCCCAACTAATACAAGTAGAACGAACGGTAGAAAGATACAGTTTTTGCTATTGCCTTTCGAATTTCGTTCGTCCCTATTTACCTCCATGTTATAATGTTAGATTTAACTGTCATATATTAATAGACCAATGTATTTCATTGGCATTGAATAGGATAATTCATCCGTACAACTAAAGAGGAAGTAAAAAATATAAAAATTTCTTCTTTCAGCGGAACACTTCCGTTACATTTTTTAAAATCCCATGAGAATAAATATTCTTTTCATCAATATTTTAATTTATATTGTCCTTACGTTAAAAAAAACGACCATCCGATATAGCTTACACATATCGTGCCGGAACTGTAGTGATCGGGGAACATTTCCCTGGCTGTCATCAAACAAAACAAATGGGTTATATGATATTTGTTTTTATCGGCCATTTGGACATTTTTCCTTTGAGCCTACTGCCTAATATTTTATAAAGAAAGGACAGAACGTGATACTGGAGAATATTAAGCAATGACGTGACGTAACAATACAACAATGACACGTTTTCATGTCAATCCGCGTCAATTTATCAATGAAATGCAGGCAACGTCTATTATACAACCCAACAACTATCACAACGCTGTGTAAACGTAAATAAATGACTGAAAGTATTATTATAATGTAAGAATATTTTCAATGCAAATAAAAAAAATATCAAGGTCAAGTAAACGTAAATATTTCAATATTTCTGGTGGTGGTAAAATACGTAGTGCAAATATCAGGTAAATAGTTTATTGCAAAAATATGTCTAGCGTAAAAAAAAATCTATTTCTCAAGATGAAAAAAAAAAAATTTAATTGAATTTCACAAAATAAACAGAAACATGTACAAATACCTGGTAATGAAAAATACACTAAGGCAGGGGTAATTCGAAATATAAGTTCAGGTTTCAGACCAGGCATATATTCTGACTTTCTCGCGAAAAGGGGGGGGGGGGGGGGGGGGTAAAAAGGGGGGGGGGGCTATTATCCTCGCATTTTGTTCAGGGAATATAAACCCAATGCCTGGAATGTCACATTATATTCCCTCTCTAAGACCTGAATAACATATGATATGCCTCCGGTTCGCCCTAGTGTCAGTACAACAATAACCACAACAACATCAAGAATGCCATATATACGTGTGCTTTACTCGTGCAACTCGTAAATATTTTCATTGCTTCTTTTTATAGATTGAACAGCAACTGCACAGTGTATAGTGTTACGGCCAGAAATCACCTTTAAATTGTAGCCAACAAAAAACACAAAATTAATAATAAAATTTAACAAGATCATTATACACAAGTTTACAAGAAATATTATACAAATTGAAATGTCACCTTAACTGTTTAAAAATATATGTCCGATCCTTTGTCTTTTCTTTATCCGGAATTCTTCTCTTAACTGTACGGAATCCAATGAAATATGTCCAATACGTTCACAATCTAGTGTGATGTTGATCGTAAATAAAAGTGTCAATTCAACAACTCCAGAGATCTTCTGAGAATCCAAGTATATTAATGTCGGTCTCTCTAATTTCGGTGTCTGTATATAAAGTTGCCACGGAAACTTCTAGAACACTGTAGAAGAGAAACTCCTAGAAATCTATAGAAGGGAAACTTCTAGAATACTTTAGAAGTTTAAATTACGCATCGTTGATTATGATCATTCTGGAATTATTATGTAAGTCAAATAGAAAGTTCTAACATTCCATCAGTAGCTATGATTGTTCCAGTGATTTCTAAACTGCGCAATTATAACATTATTTTGTAAACAACTATAACCCAATTATATAAATATATTATGCATGTTATAAGGCCACACAAAACAAATTAGGCCAAGATAAATAAACACGATAATTACAATATCATAACAATAGTTTATTGAATATCAGGACAAAGGCCCATTGATTATATTGTACTGTGACGTCACAGTTAATTTATTACAGAGAACGTTTGAGAAAATAATTAAAAAAATTGTATAAGTGATCAATGAACCACGGCATAAATATTAAGGTCAGATGTACCATGTCAAAAGAGCATGTACACCGTACAATCTTTCTTGCCGACTAGTTCCTTTATTCATATGAGACTGATTTCAACAAGGAGCTTCTTTAGAAGAATAAAAAAAGGTAGAATTATCCTTTAACATCGCATTCCGTTGTATAGATGATGTCCTCTCACTAAATTTTTCAAAGTTTGATGACTATGTTAAACACATCTATACCATTGAACTTGAATAAAGGGAAATATGACTTACATCTAGAAATTGTAAATGAGGGTCGGTTGAGAACAAAACTTTACGACAAAAGAGATGACTTTAACCTCCCAATTGTGAACTTTCCATTCCCATGCAGCAACATTCCAGCAGCGCCTGTATTTGGAGTAGATATCTCCCATTTGATAGGATATTCCAGAAATTGCATTTCCTATTACGATTTATTTGGTAAAGCGTTCTGCTGACAGGGAAACTATCAAACTTAAGAGTTCAAAGTGCTCAAGTTGTAATCATTCCTTCGAAAACTTTACGGGCACCATCACGAGTTGGTGACCATAATGGAATATCTGTTTCATGGACGACGAAGAATATATTCCAATTGACGTAGTCGTAATCCCGTCCTATTTTCCTCGTATGTGACATCAACGAATTAGACAAATCAATTGGTACGTACATGAGCAACACGACGAGTGCTACATGTTGACAAGATCTGCTTACCCTTCCGTGCAACTGTTACGCAGTCTTCAGTTTTCCATGTTGTGTTTTGTATTCTATTATTTGTCTTTTTGTCCTTTTTTTGCAATGGCGTTGTCAATTTGACATCGACCTATGAGTTTGACTCATAACACAAAGAAGCCATACACAACGATGACAATATCCCAAGCTTCCAGCCAAATTAAGTAGGAAGACATGTGTTTGTGTGTGTAGATGTTTACATAAAACAAAACGTGAACTATATGAGCTAATCTGCAAACTGTGCTTACTATCTTCTGTATAGTAAAGACAAAAGTCACATTTTTGTTATCAAGTATTGAATTTAAATCGAGTCTTATCTTAATGAGAATAGTAAAACTTCAGAATGACAAAAGACATTTCAAATATTGAAATAATATTCAATAAATAATATTGTTATTTTGCAATCTCGACAACATCATGGTGTACATGTAAAGAGGTATTTGCTTCTGTCCTGTGGCGGGGATAGATAGTGCTATGTGCGTATTCATGTACATCATGATGTTGTCGAGATAGCATTTTACTTTAGTGTGTCCTGTGTATAGATTTGTAAGCAGTTTTATGTGACAGGGCAAAAGTGGACATCACGTCTTATTAACTTATTTATAAAATTTACAATTAAATTTTATGTCCAATAAATAAATTCAATTATTTAAGGAAAAAATGGGTAAAGAAATAAATGTCTCAATTTTATTAACATGTAACGATTTTTGTTTACAAAGCTTTTTGTGTTTAAGGTTACAAATAAGTGTCAAATATATTTCACAAAGACGGAAATAAGACTTTTGATAAATAATAGATAAAGTAACAGCTTTACATAGTCTTAAGATTTCTTATGTAAAGAATAATTAATCCTGTAGTCTTTTCAATTAGCTTTTATTCGGCCTAAAACCCAAGCGACAGATATTTATGATGTAATAAGGCATGAGGACCGTCAAGGGGTCTCAATCAGTTAATTCTTTGTTAAATTGAGAAATAAACTTTCTTGTGCCTCACCTGGAAACAAAGTCACATGACTTTGGTATTTTTGGTAGCCTTTGTGGTCACTTGCAAAGCGACCATCAACGAATAAAGTATTATATTTCAAATTGTCTGTATTTTTCCAGGTGAGTGCAAATATTAATAGTTATTTAATATTTCAAATGTAAGAAGTTAATTTATATTATGTTTAGTGAAAACTAATATTCTACATTATTCAGAAACTGATTTTAAAAGATTTCATATTTAAACTTAAAAGAATCAAGTCATTATATATATCTCTGAAAAGATAAGTAGCGTGGCGTCATCATAAAATCTAAATAATGTTAAATAATCAAAGTAATAATTGTTTCACATTTGTATCTAAGTAATTCAAGTTAAGTCTTTTAAATGTTCAATTAAATCAAATGTTTAAATAGAGTTGCAGTCGTAACGTATTTGTTATGTTCAGTCTAGTTTTACATTTAAAAGAATGATTTCAATCTACAGCTAAGGAAGTGTTTCAGTTATTAAATGTACATATGTAATTATTGTTTTATGTGTGTGAAAAGAACAAGCTATTTGTCTTATTTTAGCTTAGTTAGTTTTCTTACTTTATTCAATGTATTTTATTAATGAAAGTATCAGTGCGCTGCTGCAAGGTATAGTCAGGTTTTTAGGCAGTTCAAATATAGAGTTACCTCCCATTTGAAAACAGCGTTTTCAGTCAAATCAGATATTCAGTCAACATGGGATTCTCTTTATTAAGTTCTTATATCATGTATATCATAGACTCTGAAGGTAAATTCAATTTATAATTTAAGCATAATCATGCAATCAATAATCTTGTCATGTCGAAAGATTGAGATGTCTCCTCATCAAGGGTGACCCAAGTCAAACATATGAAATTGCAGCAAGCCACTGTTTTTATGTAAATAGCACATATTTGGTTAATTATTGTAATGTTTTATAGTGTCTTTATTCTTCATTATCATAAGTCACAATTCCTATTGTCATGTTAAAGCTATCAAAGCAAGTTTTATAAAATGTGTATGTAAAATACAGTCAGTCTAAATTGAGCATTGAAACTTATAGTCAAAATTTATATTTGGTATTAAATGAGCTAAGATATATTGATATCTGTTTTATTAAGTAAGGCAAATAAATTCAGTCATTCTTTTATTATGTTTCGAGTTAGTTTCCCCCGTCATTCAATATTCTGCTAGTTTCCCCATTCTATTTCATAAATCAGTCATTAATGATGTCATATCATTATTCAGATTAAATGTGACTTTTGCTTGGCCCGATACAATGTTTCAGTCATTTATTTGTATCCGTATAAAGAATTGTGTGATTGCTATTCATATGTCATTATATTGTGTATTATATTATATATCATTCTATCATGTCTATTGTGTA